GCTCTCTGGTACTCTTGTTCTGGCATATTTGATGTCACTAATATTGTGACATCATTGTGACTAATTGATAATTGATATCATTGTGACTAATTTGTATATTGCAAATTCAAGACCTATGTTGCCCTTTTTTAATATAATTACATACGTGTGCATGATAAAGGTAGTGTATAAAGGAATACGTAAAATCAGATAACCACAGGCAACACAACGCTGGGCAAAGTATTCTTAGGTGATAACAAACAACTATTCTATGCATCTACTTCCAACTGATGAGGCTGGTTCCACAGATGAATTCGTAGATGTGACACTGGCATGGAGATTGAAAATGGAATTAGAGGCTGATGGGCAGCTGATAGGAAGGCATGTGGTGGAGGACTGTACTCAGAATGAAGTAAATTATATAACTGAGTGGTTTAAACAGAGACCAGAAGAATCTCTACTGACTTGGACAATGCATTTGTATGATCAGGAAGCGTCAGGGGTCATCCTTGATTTGGGGGATTCCAGGAAGTTTTTAATCTTGAGTTCAGACTCATATGTGCAGGATGCATTTTGGAATAATATTCATGATGCTAATCTGTTAGCTTTGACTGCTTTGGGATGCAGTAATAAATATCCTGCAGAAAATGACTGACCAACTGGAGCTGAGCGTGTGTGGTATACTTTGTGGAATTGTGTACAACGATTAAAGGAAGAGGGGATGAAATCAGCGATTTTCATAGGAGATGTTGACAGTATTATGCAGCATGTTTTGTCTGTTACTATGAAAAAAAAGGTGATCAAGACTTCCCCAGCAGCATACAAAAACTTTTGATTAACAAGAGGGGAAATGCCCTCCGTGAAATAATTGAAAAAATACAGCAGCTAGGTGATCTTGGAGAATGGGGGCCGCAAGGCAGTGCCGGAAACCAAGATACTAGAGATAGCTCTAAAGGGAATGAAAACAGAATTTCTCATAGGGAAATGTTTTCAGCTTTATTGAAAGATGGTATGTCTCGTGAGGAAATTGATGGAGTTCTGACTCATGAACTATGGCATATTTATAAGCAGAGAGGCCTGAGTAAACCTGGTAAAAAAGTGCAAAACTCTAAAGTAAATAATCCAGGAACAACTCAGCATACAGCACCCCCTCCAGAGCCTCAACGGGATTCCGCATCTGTTCACGGTGGGCCCTCCAAGAGTAGATCCGTTATTCTAGGGGAGAAGGAGGACTGGGAATGATATTCTGACTTCTATCCTTGGAAACAGACCAGGGAAATGATTCAGTGTGGTAAATGACACTGAAGTGACATCCAAACTCCAGTGCAATTGATACAGGGGGACCGGTGGCCCCATGTGGACCTTCAAATATCTTGGAAAAACTGGTCTTCACAAATATTACTGTTAATTGATATTGGAGTGGAGGCCTCTTTGATATATGGGAATCCCAAGAAATTTAAAGGGCAGCCTGTAACTATTACCAGTCTGGGAGGGAAACAAATTGATGCCATACAAACCTAAATGCAAGTGAAAATAGGGAACTTCCTGAAACGATCTTACTCGGTCATGGTTGTTACTATCCCTGAATATATAATAGGGATTGATATTCTAAAAGGATTAACCCTGAATCTTCCTGATGGTCAGTACCAGTTTGGAATAAAGAATTATATTAGTGCCCGGTCAATCTTCCAGTAGGAAAAATAAAAATGTCTCCTGTGCAGATTTCTGCTGCAAATGAATTAGTAACAATGAAACAATACTGGATACGAGGAGGGCACGAAAAAATATCACAGACAATTAAAGATTTGCTGGATGCTAGAGTTTTAAAATTAACTACCACAGCTTGGAATAATCCGGTATGGCCCATAAAAAAGAGTGATGGGTCATGGAGAATGACTGTAGATTTTAGAGTTAAATAAGCATACGCTGCCTCTCATGATGGCTGTACCAGATACTGTGACTTTAACAGAAAAAATTCAGAAACATTCCGAAAGTAGGTATGCTGGAATTGATTTAGCTAATGCATATTTTACTATACCTATTGTAGAAGAACAGTGGGACTGATTTTTTTTAATGTCGCAGGGACATCAGTATACTTTCACCTGGTTGCCCCAGGGTGAGTACATAGTACAACAATCTGCTACTGAACAGTGGCTGAACATTTGGATGAAATAAATCTGCCTCCTCATATGCAAATAACACAGTACATAGATGACATTCTAATTAAGGGAAACAGTGAGGAAGAAATACAACAGATGCTGGAATTGGCTGTGGATCACATGAAACAAAAAGGCTGTGAAATAAATCCTACTAAAATTCAAGGACTATCACAAGCAGTGAAATTTCTGGGAATTCAGTGGCATTGTGGACATTGGGAAACATTACCTACAACCCAACAGAAAATTTTAGATTTTGCAGTACCTTGTAATAAGAATGAGATGCAGAGGTTTATCAGATTGTCTGGATTTTGGAGACAATACATTCCGCATCTAGGACAGATTTTCACCCCGTTATACAAAGTAACAGGGAAGAAATATGAGTTCGAATGAGGGAGTGAACAGCAAGTTGTCTTTGAGTTAGCAAAAGAAGCGATTCGGAAAGCTTTGGATTTATGGCCCAAGCAGTAGGAAGAAGTGGAGTTAAATGTAGCTGTAAATGGGAACTGAATGGAGAAAGGGGAAGATATATGTGAAGAGAAGGTTTGTGCAGGTTGATTTCTGGTAAGAAAGGAGTGGTAGTTGGAATATTCAGGAAGATAGCTCTGTATTTAGTGTTAGCTTTGAAAATTTTTAAATGAGGGAAAAGTGGCAAAACAGCCTGAGGACTGAAAGAAAGCAAATATCACCCCAGTCTTTCCTAAAGGGCAAGAAGAAGGACCCCAGGGAACTACAGGCCAGTCAGTCTCACCTTAGTCTCTAGAAAAGGTGAAGGGAACGGCTCATCCTGGAAGTCATCTCTAAGCATATGGATGACAAGAAGGTGATCAGGATTAGTCAGCATGGATTCACCAAAGGGAAATCATGCTTAACCAACCTGATTGTACAATAAAACAACTACCTGGATGGATGAAGGAAGAGCACTGGATATTGTGTACCTGGACTTCAGCAAGGTTTTTGATATCTCCTGTGATACTCTCATAGGTAAACTGAGGAAGTGCAGACTGCATGAGTGGACTGGCTGAACAACAGATCTCAAAAGGTTGTGATCAGTGGCATAGCATCTAGCTGGAGGACTGTAGGTAGCAATGTTCCCCAGGGGTCAGTACTGGCTCCAGTATTAACTTGTTCATCAGCGACTTGGATGAAGGGGTAGAGAGCCTCCTCAGCAAGTTCACTGATGACACAAAGCTGGGGGGAGTGGCCAATATCCCTGAGTGCTGTGCAGCCCTTCAGAAGCATCTTGACAGGCTGGAGGGATGGGCAAAGAGGAACTTTCTGAAATTCATCAAAGGCAAATACAGTATTCCACCCTCTGCACCTGGGGAGGAATAATCCCATGCACTGGTAAAGGCAGGGGGCTGACCTCCTGGAAAGCAGCTCTGTGGAGAAGGACTTGGGGCAACAATGATCCAGCAGTATGCCCTTGTGGTACAGGGCCAGTGGTATGCATTAGGTGCACTAGGAAAAGTGTGTCCAGCTGGTTGTGGCAGGTAATAATGTCCCTCTACTCAGCCCAGGTGTGAGGCCTCACCAGGAATACTGTGTCCAGTTCTGGGCTCCTCAGTACAAGAGACACATGGGACTTATGGAGTGAGTCCATCAAAAGGTTACAAAAGATGACAGCAGACTGGACCATCTCACGAGGATAGGCTGAGAGAGCTGGGCCTGTTTAGCCTCCAGAAAAGATGACAGAGGAGATTTTATTTATTGTTATTTATTTTGACTACAGTATCTCAAAGGAGACTGTCAAGAGGATGGAAGCAGGCTCTTCTTGGTGGTGCCAACCAATATGAAAAGAGGCAACAGGCAGAAATTGATGCAGAGGAAGCTCCACCTGAACATGAAGAAGAACTTCTTTAATATGCAGGTGACTGAGCACCTAAACGGGTTGCCCAGAGGGGTTGTGGAGTCTCCCTCACTGGAGATATTAAAGAACCGTCTGGATGCAACTCTATGCAATGTGCTCTAGGATGACCCTGCTTGACCCTGGGAGGTTGGACTGAATGATCACACTGTGGTACCTTTCAGCTTTACCCATTCTGTGCTGACTAGAAACAGATGGGACTGCTTTCAGACTTTCATTCAAATGTTGAAAACAATGGGCAAGAACATTAGACAGATGCACAAACATAAAGATTAAGAAATATCATACATAATCTTTTGAAGGAATAAAGTTAAGTAACTGTCTTCAGGGCCTAGAGGGAAAGAAATTAATGTTTTCTACAGAAGGTTAGCTCCTTCTTGAGCTAAAGGCAACTGAGGATAGTAGACTTTACACTGTCATTTGAACCACATGTACTGGGTCTTTCATGATGCAGCAGCAAGCCAGGAGTATGCTAATCTGACAGACCTGAAGGTGATATCACTGAAAAACCTATCATTGTGTCTCTGTTATTAATATTTCTAGGTATACTGAAGTCTGCCAAACACTCTGGTTGAATCCAAGGATCCTTACAGAAGGAAGAGGAAAACCTCAAAGGTTTTCAAAAGGTATAAAAAAATTTGTGAGCAAGTTCCACTACAAGGATCAAAAGCACTTAGGCTTTCCTCCTCAAAGTCTGAACCTTTAAACATCATCTTTGACAATTAATACTTTATTAATGGCGATCCAAAAATTAATGATAATCCACTGAGGCATTAAAGCCTAGCCCTGCTTGAGTCTTTAAACAAAGTTTGTCACCAAAGTGCTCCTGAACTACTAAGTCTCTTAAAATTTTGTTCTTTTTACAATTAAACATTGGAGCCCAAACAGAACTAGTGTCAACTCATAACTATTAGTATTAATAAAGTTTAGTAATATCAAACTCTTCCCAAACAAAACTGTTTCTTAGAGTAAGTCATACAGAATATCTGAATACTGACCTTATTTACAGCTTCCACAAGCATTCTCATTTCCTTCTCAATGTCACTGACAAATTTTAAATCCTTCCTGCAAGAACAGCATTCTAGGTTAATGAGGAAAGAGAGTATACAAAGATACAATCTTCTTCATTTTTTCTAACATTATTTTTCAATGAGAACAAAATTACAGAACTCAACTGACTGAAGTAAAAGCTTCATTTACATTAAATAATGTTAGTGTGTCATCAATATTACGAAAATAATTATTTTCCCTTCAACCATTAGAACCCAGAATAAAATTCTATGATATGGCTCTACTGTCTGACAATGCAATTTTACATTTTCAAATTGATAATGTAGATTTTAAAACTGCCATTTCAGAGTTTTTAAATTACTTGTCATTAAGGCAATTCACTTCATTAGAATACAGGATGAGACACAGAAATGGGGATGGGGTAAACAGAGTGGACTTTTCCAAGACAAAGGAAAAGTTCACTGACTTTAGTCTTCAACTCGCTTAGCATAACAAACTAACAAGAACACAAGAAGCAGCATAAGGCTACTTGCAGGCAATCAAAATTTCTTGATGTAAGATATTAAGGATTTGTTAGAACTATTTTTTTTGTACCTAGCTTCATCACAGTACTTCAAGTCTTTCATGTAAGTGTAAAGCTTTGTGCTCTGTTCTTACATAAGCAGGTTAACTAACTCTAAAATTAAGGTTTTATTTGTTAGGGCACTGTCCCCACGGAGAAAAAAGACCTGAAGATTTCATATCTCAAGGCTGGTTAGTACTAAATAATAATTCTTCAAAAACCAGGCACTATTCCATACCAAAACAGTACCGCTTTGTGAATGATGTCAGAATTTAACCAGTCAAGATGTGCCTACCAAAGCAGGCACAACCATCTTTGGTAGATGCCCTACCGAAGTTTTGGATGGTGAAGGGAATGTATCATCAAAAGACCAAGGAGTCTCAAACAAACATGCAAAATGACAACATTGAATAGCTCAGCTACCAATATCACTTGATCAGATATGATGGACTCAGCCCATCACTGGAAAACCTTCAAGGTTTTGCAACAGTACATGGACATAGCATGTAGTTATGAGAACTCCTGGATCTTCAGCAGAGAGAAGTATTACATTCGGAGAACTGCAACAAGGACCTGGACTTTTAGAGCTGAAAAGAAAGGAGCCTCCAAACACCTAGGCTGTGAAATAGAGAATCAGCCCATGTGGTATGAGGCTTTGAAAAGAATATTACAGCAATAATCTCAGGTTAAAAAAAACCCTGCCCAAAGAAAAAAACCTGACCCAACAACAACAACAACAAAATAACAACAACAACAACAAAAAAACCAAACAAAAAACCCCCCCCACAGATACCTTCAGGATCCAGAGGGTCAGAAAGCAAATACTACACTGAATGCCAGCCATAAACACCTAAATTTCAAGGTGGAGTGATCATGGGAGGTAAGAAAAAAATGAAATCAACAATCCAATGAGAGAGTGCACAAGTATCTGATTTGTAATATTTAAAAGCCTACTGAGGAACCAGTTCACACACTGAGTGATAAATTCAAAAAAATAAGCCCTTTAGGAGTCTATAGAAACAGAGTTATCAACTGGAAGTCACCAACAAAATCAGCAAGCTGGGAGTTCTTCCAGAAATACTTAGAATGTCTCTCAGCTTCAAGAAATTCCAAGATAGTCAATACTGAAGTACAACACACATGATCTGACAGTGCATATACTGAAATTCTGCAATGTGGGACATGAAAGTCTATTTTTCTGTGAAATGTCTCTAGATGGTGTACATTAGGCTTCTTCCCACTTTCCTGCATTGCATGTAAGCAGAAGCAGGCCTACTGTCACTTCGGTTCTTCTCAACCACACTACTTAAAAAGAATGCTCCTAACTGCTTGGTTTTCCACTGTAGTTCTTACTGTATATTTTTGCTTTCCCCAGACTTTGCTGCCTTTGCCAAAACCCTTCTTATTCTTGCAACACTTGCCAGTCACTTTGCCTTTAAGTGACTGACATCCCATGCTTGCAGTTTGCCAGTCATGTGCTTGAGAAGCTGCTCTCACTGTCCCTTCCTTTAGGATGCAGTTCTTGTTTAAGAAAGTTGTCTCCTAACCCTAAACCTGTACACTGCTCCTGTTACCAGATTACACACAGGAGTGCTTGGCTCCTCCTTCATTGCCTGCAATGGCATGTGGAGGGTTAACTCTTGGAAAGACTGGCTAAGATGGCAACCTACTAAGGACCCATCTCCTTCTGTGTCCTTCTAGACTTAACCATTTGATCTTAGATTTTCATAGTCCATATAGCTGCTGTGGGGTCTTGCACAGCTAGTGACAAAATAAGAACATTTTCTTCTGTGTAGCTCCAGGTGGCCAGATATTCCAGATGTTCTCCTCTCTTTCTCCAGCAGTTTTAATTCATCAAATAGCAACCTCAACATCATCCTTGTCCAACTGGACACTGATACTTGTGCCAGTCTATCCTCCAACTTCATGTCAGTGGACCAACCTGAGCATTTTCTTGTGCTCTCTGTCTGTTTCTGGAGCTTCTTAGAAAGGTCAATGCTGAGGTGTCGAGCCAGTGGATTTGTTGCCCCTGATCTGTGCTCAGTTGTGTTGGTACAGTCATCTCCATACTACAAGATGGATTCCTCCATGTAAAGCTATATGGTGTAGAGACTTTTCTTTTGACTGCTTTGTCAGATTCTGGCAAACACATCAGCAAGACCAGCATGCAGCAGCATTACCATGCTATTGTTGCCTAAAATTGACTCTCTAAACCTCTAAGACCAAATTTTTGAGTTTTAGAAGCCAGGCATTCTTTATTATGATGTGCTGCATGATCACAGCATGCCAGGTGCCCTGGGAATCAGTTCGCCAAAGTGCACACAAAGGTGTCTTTTCTACAGCTTATATGTCAACATTACATGATTATTCATTTTTCATTCCCTGCATTCCTGTTACGTATTCATGACATTTCCCAACACTTATTTGCACATATACATATCTGGTCTCTGAGGGGCTTCACTGAGGGTCTCTAGTGGTCGTCTGTGTCTGAAGTCCCCCAAAGTTCTAAGTGACTGCCTATAAAGTTCTTTAAGACAATACACCTTGTTATAGAGTAACTTGGCCGTCTGCCTCAGTTCCATTCTTCATTGTTTCTTTACTTTGCTTGGTTAGATCTTTTAAATCACGTGGCTCAGCTCTATGTAGTTTCTATGGTATATTCCACTGCAAAAATTATTAGTTCTTGTTACATCTCAAAACTCAGATATCACTACTCCTGGTGCCCCCTTCTCTGTCACTGTCCTACAAAGGAGACATATTATCTTGACACGCTTCCACTTACTTATCTTCTTCCTGTTACCTGGAGTTGTACTGCATCTTGGAGCTTTACAGTTCTGTAATTAGAGATTACACTTCAAAATCAGGAATTTTCTCACAGCTTTCTCAAGTTTTCCTCCTTTGTAGATGTACATTTCTTTCAGCCCTTGACAATGTATTAACTTCACAGATCAATGAATTGCCTAAAGAAGATAATATCACAGCATTCTACTGATGATTTTGGCAGCTGCTGCCTTCTTGAGGCAGTGACTCTGAATGCACAGGTAGGTAGCTGCTGTGTTTCTCAATCATGCTGAGATCCCATATATGGGTGTGTAGCTTACGCTTCGCAGAAAACCACAGGCCCTGAACTCCCGGAGTGACATGCTCAAGTAAGAATAAATTAATCTGTCAAAACTTATTCAGAATGCTGAGCCACCTGAAAAACATACTGTAACAGATACACTTTCTGGATCCTGCCACCATGATGGAAAGCCTGATCTTTTGCAAGACTGCTGATATAACATCAAGAGCAGTCAAAGAAGTAAGTTCATAAAGTCATAGCTTTACAAATTGAAGACTGCTGCTCCTGTAAAGAGAGCTTTGTTAATACAAGGAGAAACTTATTTATCTTAAAGACTAGATAAATGAAATCCAGTAATGCAATGTGCAAAGTAAGTGACTTGAGGACTAAAAGAACTTTTGCTTTAGCTGTGTGCTAAAGCTGTAAGAATAGTCTTGGTGTATTATTTATTGTGAATTACCAGTATAAAGTGGCTACAAAGGAAATGCAAGAAAAATCACTGAAAGAATAAGAAGAGGAGTGTGGAATCATTAAGGCTACTTTTCAAGGTATCTGTTTGACCATTTGGAGAACACTGCACTATGAGTAGTGGTTGGCAGAAAGACTAAATAGAATTGTACTCCAAAGACTACACACACGATGCAAGATTTTCACTTTCCTGCAGTATTGAAAATGTGTGCTGTGTTTTTCTGAAAGAGGTAAAGCAAAATATAATCTATACACACTTAAGAGAATAGTCCTTATAAAATAGCACTTTTAAGTGCAAATACTACTGAAACAGTAGCTCCGCAATGAAAACATTCAGCTCCTATTTTGCAGTAGGCTCATCAGTTGGAAGCAAAGGAAGAGGTAACTTACTCCTAAATTCTGTGTGGCTACTTATGTAAAATTTCCCACTTATCTCAACACATCAGCAAACTAAATAAAGGATTTTCAAGCAGAAAACATCCTTACAAAACTATGAAATTTATGTAGCATTAGGATACTGAAGCAACAACAAAAGATTAGGATGTTTTGAAAAACTTAGACCCAGTAAAAACTAATGTCATGCTGTGGCCGGAGCAGAGAAATTTCTCTGAACAATTTTTCCTGCATTTTGTAGGCCTTGCTTGACATTACTTTAGAAGTTGCAAGCTGTGATGTTTATACTTACAGAGTGTGTGAAAATATACGATGTTTATAATTCGTTAGCTGTGTGTTTAGTTATAAGGTTTGAGAAAATAGTATGTTTATAGTAAGAAAGCCTTGAGAAACTGGAGATAAAGGTACACCTGCAGATTTCAGAAAGCCCCTAAAGGCGGATCAATTATGCAGGACTTTGCATGCCAAGAATGAGCTCAGGGCTGCATGGACAGAGTACCAGGTCCAATGAACTGAAAGCATGAGACACGTGCACAGACTGAGCTATCCAATCACCTTGTTGTAAGCATGTGCCTGAAACAAACTAAACTATATAAAAGTTAACTCATTTAAATAATAAATTGGACATCGCTGATCATGTTCATCGTCTGCGTGTGTTCCTGAGCCTCTCCGCCAACATCATGCCTACAAACACATACACAAGAGTAAAAACTTCTTAAATGACACATCATTTAAGCATCTTTTTAAAGATGTGTCTGATCCCTCCCCGTCACTCCAGATTGCACAGTATGTATTGGTGTAATGCTTTTGACATGAGCTTGATTTCATATTGCCTTGTTTTAAGATGTTTCAGTCTAGCATCACTCTTTGCAGTCACACTGGCATAGGCTTTGCTCTGCAACAAGTATTTTATTAATTCCATTTCTTTATTTTTAGAAAGAAGCAGTAAGAGAGAAGAAATTAATGAGACTGGTGGACCGAAATACTGTCAGGCTACAAGAGCATATTTTATTACTTAGCCACCACTTTTGTCTTTGTTTTGAAAAGTTTATAAGGAGCACCAAGATAGAGGTTGGTTCTTTGTGAAAGCAGCAGAGATGTGAAAAGTACAGGTACTGATTCATAGTGAGAATGGTGAAAAATGATGTTCCTGTTCTAAATCTGGTCCTGTTACAGAACAAAGCAACCTGTCAGGCACTTTTTACTTTTCAGGTTCTCATTCTGGAGGTCTTGAGAAGTGCACAATCACCTCCTTTGCCTCAATTGCCATCTACTGCCAAGGTAGTTATTTTTACAAGAGTAAAATCAAACTATTCTGCATTTTCCATCTTGCTCTCAACACTGTTGAACTATGACACCTGCCATCATTAGAACACATACCTTGCATCTTCTTTTAAAACGTCACTGTACTTTGGTCCAGAAGAACGGATGTTAAAAGGATCAGAATTATCATCTATTTCAAGAGCTTCAGCAAGACGCCTGAATTTGAGGGTAAAAGGAAAAAACCCCAAAATGTAACAAAAACATAAGCAAACAAAAATAAACATATAAATCCCCCCAACCTTCCACACATGTTGTCATCGAAAAGTAAAGGTACAGGTTACGAATATAAATAAAAAGCTTGCAAAAGATATGGTCTGTACATTTGAAACTACTCGCTTAAAACTTTTCACTAGAATATTCTAGCAAGATCTCAGATCATTTAATATAGATCCCTAGAACACAGGAATCATCTCCACATTTATCTGTTCTCTAGGTCATGCAGGAAAGGATTTTTTCCCCGCATAGCATTAACTTTGTGAACCTGGATTACTACTGAGGAAAAAACAAAGCAAGAAAGTTAATTGCCCACCTGTTCCTCTGAAGGGCTAAGCATTCTTCATCACATTGCAACCTAAATCATGAAAGAAAAATAGAATTAGAATCACAGCTGTTACTCATACTTTTCAAACTGTAGCTTTGTTGGTGTCATATCATCACAGTCTAAAGTAGTAAGAAGAGTGTGTGAGAATAGTTTATTGTATTAGAACAGACAGTAGAGCTAAAAATAAACGATCAAGCACCAATTAAAGATCTTTGATCACACAATCCCTTCTCCAGGTCTTGAAAAGGAACAGCAATTACCGAAGTCATATAGAAACAGAGAAAAAAGCCTCTGAATTAGATGTTATTGGTAAATTCTATCATTTAAGAAAAGAATGCAGTTGATATGAGCATTGAGGGGATGCTAGGAAGGACTGGAAATCAGCAAAGGAAAATGTAACAAGGTCACTTATTCCTATGAATCAGAAAAAATTGTTAGCCAGGAAAAGGAGGAAAGTTAAATATGCATATGGACAATTACGGTGAACCATAAAAATCAGTATTTCAACTGAATCCCTAACATCAGAAGAGCTATGAATTTCAGTTTTCTGTTTCATCTTTGGAAGGTATTTTACAATTTTATTTTGAGGGATTAAAATGTCAGAGAAGAATCAGGAGTTCCCCAGAATTTCAGTGGCAGTTACAAACTTCTTCCCCTTAGACTGCACAAGTTAATTAATTCTGTTGATAATAGTTCCTTAAATTTAAAAAATAAAATAATTGCTATGGGGGAAATTGCTTCATTCAGGTTGGAAACACATAGCTCCAGGATCTAGAACTTATTCTGATGGCTTTCTTGAAGGGGACAGAAGAAAGTTAACATATTTGCACTATAAGATCAACTTGGTACTGTTTAAAGTCATTTGCTTGAAGAATTATTTTCTCCTCTGCTGTAAGACAAATGTAGGCAATTTAGAGAAGCTGTTCGAGGTCTGATCAAATTTGTCACAAGAAAAACCCCAAACCCTAATAAGAAAAATGAAGTATGAAAATCCTTGCACAGTTTGCATAAAATATTCTGTTACTGTAAATGAGTGAATCAGATTTGTAAGTTACGCTGAAAATACTGGATTTTGACAATAAACTAGTGTAACACTCTGGCCTCGGAGCTGCAAGCTCATGGGCTCAGCCAGGAGTTTTACTTTAAAATATACATATATACAGGGTCCTTTAATACCTTGAAATAGTGTCAAGAGAATAAGTCACAGACTTTTTCCCAAGAGGTATTTTTATTGATAATTTAGAGGAGAAAATAAGGGAACTTGGCAAAAGTTCAAAAGGGCACCACACAAGCTAGACAAAACGTTCCACTACAATACACATACTAATCCACAACACTTAAATCAAAATCCAATCCCTCCAGTTTTAAGCTACCCAAAACATCAAGAAAGGAGCAAAGAAAGAAAAGAAGAGGGAGCAAGAAGAGAGAAGGTGGGAGAGACAGACTGTATAGCTACCATTGGAACCTTGTGGAAGACCACCTCTCACATGTCCAGATGGCAGAGCCATACACCTTTGGTTTTATCTGCTCTGGTCCCTATGGCCACCCACTCCCCTGCCCAAGGTGGGGTCTCTGACCCACTGGCCACTCTGGGGTTCCAGGCCACAGTGAGGGGCAGTGATCTCACCGTCCCTGCCAGTCTGAGGCTGGGTTAGGGGCTCTGGGAGGTGTGATGTGTTATAGTTTTCCCCGGCAGCTTGTGACTGACAGGTATCCCGGGCCTTCCCTATGTGGGCTCCAGGGGCCTGCCATGAGGGATGTGATGCACCTCACCTCTGTGAGGTTTCAACCCACCCCTTCCCCCCTCCACGCACACACACATATACCCAAGGTGGTTCTGATCCAAAAATTACTAATCTAGTGTCTAACAACTAGAAATTTAAGACTAAATATTTTATGTACCACCATTTTTTTTCCCCTTGTCCCAGTATTTGGTAGATGAAAGTGGGAGAATACTTCCTCTGACTGTCCTTGAATAAAAGGTACCTGCCACAGTTTAGATATCATATTAGGAAAGATTTGCACAAAGAAAAGTAATCTCTGGTAATTTCAACTGTCAAAGGAAAGGGCAGTGTTTGTCCACCCAGAAAGATGCGTGGCAATGCGTGGCAATGACTACAACACAATTTATATTAAACATTGCAAAGGCTGGGACACCAACAGAGACATTATTCGCCCTCCAGGTAAGTGTACAGCTGTTATACAGACTTGCAGCTTTACTATCTAAAAAGGTCACCCCTCTCTTTTTCTACCACCCTGCACCCCCATTCTCCCTGCCAAGTTTTAACACTGCCAAATGGTTGCTTTCTTTGAACAGTGACTTTTTTGGGAGACACTGAAGTTGGCTTCATGTTGTATCTGACTGTATCATGTTTGTATCTGATTGGCATTGTGATGCAAACAGAAAGTAGTTGAAGCTCAGTCTAGGTAAAGCAGAGATTATTCTACAGTAATTCTAGAGACAAAAATTAATGCTTACATTGCACATTTTTGAGTATTCAATTAATTGAAACAAACAGGATATGCTAAAAAAACCCACCTCAATTACTATTTCTTACTGGTATCTTTCTTATTACTATGCTTATACAGTACTATGACCATGCTCTTTAAAGTTGCATGCAGGAATTGGTACAGCTCTCCCTCTTTCACCTGGTTTTCTCCTCTCACTTTCTTCTGAAGTATGACACTGTCCCAACAACAACAAAGCTGAAGACTGGGATGAGCAGGTGCTCCCATGTATCATCTTGCTCATACATTCAGATTGATAATTATTTCAATGTAGAAAATTATCCAAAAGGATGTGTAATAATGTGCCTCAATTTCATAGACTAGCAAACAGAGTAGAATGACTAGGAAAAGCTCTTGAAGTATGCTGGTATTAACTTTTGATACAGGAAGTCGTGAAGCAACTGTTGGGAAATGTCACTATTTTGACTTCACACAATAAAAAGGAACATTAGATTTTAACACACAGAATAGACTGACTCAGAAATAATCAAATTCAGTATAAAAAAGGAGACATGGTAACAGAAATAAACTAAACCCAAAGATTAAGGACTTCAATGGCAAGGACTTCAGTAAGTCAAGTTTCTGACAGAAGGACGTTGGAGAAAGTTGACAATTTCATAACTAAATCATACTCAAAGTAAAAAGACAAGTTATTCCAATCCTGAGGAACATTGAGTGAAACAGAAAATCACCAAATTTAAGTCAGAATTGGTTTTGTGACTTAAAATCAGATTTTCAGTGCCAGCCAGGATGAGAACACTGAAGCACGAATCAAACTGAAATACAAACGTAAAAATATCTAAAAAGGGTAATAAAAAAATATTATAAATACTAAGATGTTGACTAGGAGAAAATAGGGCCTATGAATAACCCAAAAAGGAATGCTGGATACTGAAACAGAAGATAACAGTAAAAAGTTGTACTATCTAGAAATCTGGAAAAAAAAATCCAGAGGAACTCCAAGGAAATAGCTGGGTAGAAAGAAAACTCTGAAGCCACAGTTGTATTGTTCTACACATAATTATAACAACCAATCAGACAATAACAGAGAACTCATTCTACGTGAAAGCATAAACAGCAATCGCTAAGAAAGTGCAAAATACTCTTTTAGCAGTATTGTTAAAGTAAGGGTCAGGCTATACAGGAAGACTTAGGCTTCATATTACAGCTGGCATTTTGATCACCATATTATGCATTTTGGATGTCACCTATCCTTCAGGTGAAGAACAAGGGCTTCAAATATGTTTCTACATGTATCTCCTTACCTGGCTTGCTTCATTTCTTTTTTTGTAATAAGCCTACTGATTTCCACAGAATCCCCAAGCTGTAGATCTGTTAACTTGGTGGCTATAGATATAGCAGCTATTCTGAAAAAGAAGAACATTAGATTTAGTTTGTGGCAACACAAACCTCTGTAAAGGTGTATAAGGGTGCAGATTTAACCTCCAGATGGAAGAAGTAAGACAGACTGGCTGTTTTCTCATCAGATTACAGAATGGGACTCTTAGTTCCACATCACCTAGTTTTAGGAGTCTAATCTATCTATCCAAATTAAGATGTTACTCTCATCTCCCTCAAGAACTAGGAGGAAGTCTAACAGCTGCACATGCTTCTTAAGAAAGTCTAAACTAGGCAAGGCGAATACTCTTTCTCCACACTTGCTTAATATACAAACTACATCTGACCATATAGCTTTAACTACCCTTTTATGTGTTTCTTGCTAACTGTGCAACTAAAATCTTATAAAGTAGTTAGAAATTTGATTAGAAAATATAGATGATACAATCCATAGGGAAAGAGCAAAATGCCTACTGAGACTGTTACTATTTTCTTTATAAAGGTTCTTCATCATTCTCTTCAATAACATCTTCCCAGTCTCGCTTGCTAAAATTTGTATAACCATAATTATACAGTAATTTTTTAGTGAAATATCCCATATAATTTTCAAACAAAATCCTAAAACCGGAATATTCTATCCTTTGAACTATCTTTTTGGTAAATTCAGATAAAAGAATATGTTTGTCTCTATATGTTTTGCATCATATTCAGAGAACTAATCATCTATCAGGTTCTAGGCTAGAAGTAGGAAGTAGGCTAATCATATTAAATAAATCCAAAATGCACTGAGAGGCACCATCAGCTTCATATTTATCAGGTGGTGACAAAGTCTAGGTAATGGGACATTAGATGATATGACATCATCATTTGTACCATATGTACAGATATAGCAGCGCACTCCCTTTCCTGTTCCCTTGGACATTCTTTCACCAGCATCCACTGACAAACCTCAAAGCTGTTTCATCCTCCCTCTAATGTTTCTGAGAAAACTTAGATACCCCACTAATTTGCTGACCTTTACTTTGTTGTTAGGTTATTTTTGTTCATAGTTTTAGTTGTTTTGATCTGGTGGTAGGAAAAAAGACAACTTTCCCTCCACAAAATCATAATATGTTAATCTTTTAGCAATCTGAACTGCTGGAAGTTATCAAACTTAGCTGGCATTAAATGCTGCTTCTGTTAATATCATGAGTCAAGAGTTATTTGTAAGCACATACGAGCACATTTGAACTAACAGATAAAAACACTTGCTTTAAACAGAATGTTTCTTTCCCTTTCTCTTGATCTGGACTCTGATTAGAGAAATTAATACATTTGCATTCAGCTTACGCATGCAAGGACTCTCACTGGCTTCAAAGGAACATTTTCCTTGCATGAATACTTTGGCAGAGCCTGAGCAGCAGAGAAATAACAGCCTTCAAAAATTTGGACTTGTATTACCTTCCCAGTTTATCATTAGTGACAAGCATGTGTCAACTTAATCTGGTATTTCAAAGTTTGAGTCAGTCTTCTGATTTGTATTCACAGTGAGAAAGACCTTAAAAATACCTAACTCCTGTAGATGTATCTTGCATTCAACTCAGTATTGCCTAAAATTGTTCTTAACTGTTTCTGATTAGCACATTTTTCTCCTTGTTTTCATTAGATAATATTAAGCACAGTGCTGAGCCTTCTTCTGTCAGAACCTGATTATGACTAGTGTTTAGGAGAAACAAAGCAGCATATCCTAAGCTGGGCTAGGATAAAAAAAGGTCCTCATATAGCAGTTCCAAATAAAACAATCATTAAGAAGCTTTCTCTGAAAGAGAGGAAGAATGTCTGACTGTGCTTCTATCAATTGGTATGCAGAGCAGAATTCTGATTGCATATCAACTCTCTAGATTAGGTTTTTTTTACTCCTTTTCAATCACAGCCTCAGAATAAGATTTTTTAGCTTATTATTATTACTCTTTTGCTATATTAATTTCCAAAGTTCCAAAGCCACTTTTCTTCTTTGCCTTGTCCATTCATTGCCCTCTCTTGTATGAGAGAGAAATAAGTTTAGAAATAGGATCTGGATACAAATCTATGGCAATAAATGGAGTTAAGATAAGGACTCAGTTTGCCTATTAAGAACCAAGATTTAGATGCCAAAGTTCTTCAGCCTAAATTTAGCTATTTCAGGATTACATCAAATCACTCTTAAGCATCCATCATCTCTAGGTTCCATCATACATGATTGGAAACTTAGACAGCAACTCACACATGGACTGCAATCACCCACATTTAGGAGCCTGAATCTGGATCTGACAAATTAGTCTGTATCTAATTGCTCCAAAAATGGAAGAGTCAAGCTTTGACACACTCCCATAGTCAGACTAATTAAACAGTAAAAAAAAAAAAAAAAGAAGTGTTCTAGTACAGCATAGCTGGTATGAAAGCTCAGGGGAATAAAAAAAATTAAAAAAACCCCCAAACTTGTATGTCAAAGTACAAAAAACTGTGAAAAAAGTTTGTGAATTAAACACATTTAGTCAGGCCTGAAATTTAATCAAACTGCAAAGTATTAAGTCCAGTAGGGAATTAAAAGAATTAAAAGACTTATTACAGTACCAACCTTTGATACGTATTAGATGCTTCTGAACAAATCATACTCTCCTCTCTTCTTCCACATTCACATTGAAGATCAACCTGTTGTATCACACAAGAGAGTAGCTTTTTGAAAGCTTTGTCTTTTTATCACCATGGAGGGAGGTACCTTTAAAAAGTCCAATTCTAGTGGAATAATGGCTAACTAAAAGTGATTAATAGTTTCATTTTTAAAAAAAAATCAATATTGTAAGTTTAGAGAAAAAAATGTCATGCTATCAATATACAAACATGTCACAACTGTTACTGGCTGTTAATCAAACCATACAATTCACCTGTGACTTTGTAATTAATTTTCTTTGTGTATCTAACCTTTGCGCAGCACGAGGTTGTTGGGCAGGGTGAAGAGGGATGACACGGAGCCATACAGGGATGATTACAATATAGCCTTGGAATAATACATGGCTGTTTGCACTCTTCATCTATAAGACACTCTCCTTTATGACAGATTCTTTTACATTTGTGCATCCCACATTTTAACATTTGATTGCAGCGAAGTCCGCAGGAAATGTCAGTGAGATGACAAGGAATATTACTTCGCAGCTGAACGAGGGGAGGAAAAAGATGACAACTAACAGTAAAAATTATCAATGGAAATCTCAAAGTGGTTTTACTGTTCACACTTTTATTTGGCACTGTCCATGCAAGAATCTTAACATTAAAATATTTTAGGTCAAAGACTTGAGTTTTGCTTTATACCACAGTCCAATACAGCAGCTGGTCTGAATGCATATGGAATAAAAGACATACTTCTCCAATTTAATCACATTAAACTCAAACTCCAGTAACATATTCTATTCCAAAGAAGCAACCAAAATATAAGCCCACAGTCCTAGAAAATTGTTTAGTATTCAAAAACATTAATTGTCCAGAACTTACTTCATGCTTGCCCATACACCATTTCTGAGTGAGATAAGTACAGGGTGGACACTTCTCTTCACTATGACATGAATGGTACACTGCAGCCACAGAGATATAAAAGTCGTAACAGTTTTATTAGCATACTTCAGTTGAATGCATTAAAGGAAACAGTAAAGACTATTAAACAAGAGTTTGCATTTCAAAATCACACAATTTATGGGAAGGATGATGCTTCATTGAAGAATAATGTGTTCTTTAAAAATTATGATAGCAGGTGTTTAGGTGAATACTCTTCCATATTTTCTAAATTAAATAGCAGATAATTTTCTAACTTCTGAGTAGGGTTATACTATCAGGCAGAATTTGACAGAAAACATATCTGTGTGACCCATGCTATTTATTTTGCCATCAACCAATGTAATTCCAAAGAACACAGAAATTAACTCTTCACTAGATTATCCTACTACTTCAACAGAGCACTTGATCTTTGGAATGTAGCATTTAATGTGTTGTGACTACTAATAACGATCAGAAAAAATGACAATGCTTATACCAGTGAGAAGTACCACTACTAGTATTCATTGCAAGTTTTTAACTGGTTGGCTTTTAAGGGAAGACTTCTGGAAATACAGTTTCAAACAGACCTATGTACACTTTTCTACATTTCGATTAAAAGAATCCCAAGTACAAAACAAAAATACCCCACAAGCAAAACTAAATGGCCTGACTTACCTGGATGATCACAGTCATGCGGCCTGGTACACGTTTTTTTACACTCTGGTGGCTGAGTGCCACAGGGGACAGGGGGGTAAATCACAGATTCACCACAATAACAAGTTAACTCATCAAAACCTGAAAAAAAAAGTCAAATACATCCTAATGGCTACATGTATTTGCATGTCTCGTTCCATGAGAAATCTTTACATACCACACAAATGTTTTACTCTAGCTTTGCTTTTTTTTTTTATATTAAGCACTAATATTTGACATCAGTGAATTTCTTAGCTTTTGTGGCTTGTACAAGAAAACCAGATTTGATGATTTTATTAGAAATTATGCTTGCTATGTGCTCCCATGGTCTGCAGCCAAGTTTCCAGTTGATGGCACTCAGACCTCTCACACACTGAACAGAGAATGAGATTATACTAAAAGATATTAACTATGACAGGATAGACATGAAGTGCACAGATCTCTGTCAGATAAGTACGTTGACCAGCAGCTTCATTTGTTCATTTTATTTTGTCTTCACTCCATTTTCCCATGCATCCACCTAGATTCCTCCCAAGCAATCTAACAAAATAAATTTTTCCCTATTGTAGTGGGTTGACCCTGGCTGGATGCCAGGCTCCCACCAAAGCTGCTCTATCACTCCCCTTTGCAAGCAGACAGAAGAGAGAAAATATAACAAAAGGTTCATGAATTAAGGACTGGGAGAGGTCACTCACTGAATACTGTCACAGGCAAAACAGACTCTATTTGGGGTTATTAACTGAATTTGTTACTAACAAAATCACAGCAGGATAATGAGAAGTAAAATAAATCTTAAAAACACCTTTCCCCCACCTCTCCTTCCTTCCCAAGCTCTATCTCCTCCCCTCCAGCAGCACAGGGAGACAGGGAATGAGGGTTACAGTCAGTTCATCACACACTGTTCCTGCCATTGCTCAGGGAGAAAGTCCTTCCCCTCCTCCAGTGTGGGGTCCCTCCCACAGGAGACAGTTCTCCATGAACTTCTCCAACACGGCTCCATCCCACAGGCAACAGTTCTCCACAAACTGCTCCACTGTGGGTCACTTTAGCATTGGATGCAGTCCTTCAGGCAAAGCCTGCTCCAATTAGAGCTCCCCACAGGGTCATAAGTCCTACCAGGAAACCTATTCTAGTGGGTACTCAGATTCCTGCCAGGAGCCTGCTCCAGCACTGGTTTCCGATGGGTTCACAGCCTCTTTTGGGCATCCACCAACTCCGGTGTGCGGCTCTTCCACGGGCTGCAGGTGGATCTCTGTATCCCCATTGACCTCCATGGGCTGCATGGGGACAGCCTGCCTCACCACAGTTTTCACCATGGGCTGCAGAGGAATCTGTCTGGAGCAGCTGCTGTCCCTCCTTCTTCAGTGACCTTGGTGTCTGAGTTGCTCCTCTCACATATTCTCAACTCTTCTCTTCTCTGGCCACAATTACACCTGCACAATACCTTTTCTTTCTTCTTAAGACAGAGGCATTACTACCATTCCCAATTGGCTGGGCCTTGGCCAGCGGAGGATCTGTCTTGGAGCCAGCTGGCATTGGCTCTGGTAAACATGGGGGAAGCTTCTAGTGGCTTCTCACAGAAGCCACGCCTGTGGGCTCCTGCTACCAAAACCTGACCATGGAAAACCTTATATCCATTGACCCCAGTTTAGCTACATCTGTACCCAAATCTGCTATTTCTGCTCTCATTAGCTAGGTCATACCAGCATCACACAACTAGCAAAGTTCTGTTGGCCTTCCAAAATTCCACTCCCAAAAATGTTCCCAATACCTCTCCTCCTCCAATTACTTGTAAAGCTCAGCCATCTTTCACCCTTACGGGGAGGAATAGATGTGACATCCATCTATTCCTCAAGGCACTATCTGAAATTTTTTTCAGCTTTTCACTTTGTTTTTTGTTATGTTCAGAAATTTCTCATGTCCAGTTAGTTTTTACAGTCTGTACCATCAGCTAAACCTCAGGCTAGGTCCTACTCATTTGCCCATGTGTCTTGGAATACAGCAGTTAATAGAGAGAATTGCAATTTTTCTCTAAAGAGACTCAATTACAATAAATTCCAGCAAATAAGAATTCCAGGGAGAACAAAATGTTATGAGTTAGAAGAAAGAAGTAGAAAAGATTCAGAATGTCCATTTCTGGGGAAAGGAAGCATGAGAAAGAGTTGTCCCTCACTACAGGTCTTGAAACAACCTATAATACCCTAGGCTTCAAAGCCACAGATCTTCCCTAGTCCAGGAAGATGAAAGACCAGAGATCAAGGTCCCTTGAAGATCTGAATGTTAGACAGCTACACTGGCTGCTTGCTATTGATGACATGTGACAGGTGAAAAATCTTAACTAAAATGAAAGTCTCTTTACTAGCACTAATGAGGATAATGGGGAGACTGCAGAGTGGTCCGATCCAAAGAACAGAAATACAACATCTGAAAATTAAAAAAAAAAAAAAAGCGCTGTCTCTAATGCTGACATTATTTATTTTCCCCAAGAGATGTATTGCTGTCTTGAAGTAGACCAGGTGTGCATAAAGAGACCCTGGAACAGAAAGAGACCTCACCTATCAGCACTAAAGAAAAGTATGTGGGAGGCACACAGAACCACAGAAGTGTAGATGCACTCTAGTATTGCATCTTGATGTCAGCCCTCACCATTCCCAGCAAGAACAGTAGTGGAGATGGAAGCAGGGGCAAGAAATCCAGTCTAATGAGTAGGTAAATGGCTTGCAGCTGATCATGCCACAGCATTTGATACCATGGCTGATGTAGCCCAACAGCAAAGTGGTGACTAGAGAGGTGAGATAGAGTCAAGAATGGCCTTCTTAGTGCTGAGCAGCACTCACCATCGACTACAGGGTCACAATCATATAGAAACATACAATGTATGCCTCTGAAATCTCAACTAGCAGCATTCAGGGAAAGCAGGTAAGAAATCTTTAAAGATACTGGTTAGCTGATTTACCTCTGGATAGATTCAGAATAGGAACCTTCAGGGACACAGACATTTAAGCTAAATTACCATAATTATCCTGGAGTAGGTAACTGCTTTTCTGGTATTCAGAAAAGGGCCACAGGGCCTTGCTGCAAAATATCAGCAGGGAAGATTGACCTCTAGATTGCATCACATCCAACAGTGGAGCAATTTACACAGGAGGCCATCCTTAGCTCTCTCCAGGTTATGAGAGGCATATGAATCTTTGGTCTAAGAGTGAACTAAAATCCTTAAAAATATTGCAGCAATGTGGAGAAGTTTAATGATCTTAAACATCAAACCCATGGAATCCTCTGAACAAAAGCAATTGCTCAGAAAAAAACCTGCATTCCGTCTCAACTAGACCAGAAGTTACTAACAGGACCTCTGAGACACTAAGATTACTATTTTGCTTTGTCCAAGAGTTTGGACATAGAAATATTTATATTCGTAAAGAGAGGTACAGTCAACATGCATCATATTCATAGGCTATTAAGACAGACTACAATGCTATTTCAAGCACAGTGAGCTTTAGAGGCTCTAGTACCTTCTCTTTTCCAGAACGTTTCCATGAAAAGTTGGTCTCCACAAAAGTGGTCTTTAACTATATCAACATGCGTATAATATAGAAGAGACTCGTGTACTACTGCAGCTAAGGCACTTCCAGTTGTAAACAGTATCCTTAGAATATATATCACGTCTCTCTCCTTCTCACCAATGTGAAATGGATCACATTCTCTATCTGAGAATCTGACCAGTTAAATTAATATATTTCTATAATAAATAAGAAATAATGTACTTTTGCAAATAACTCACTTGTTTGCCAGCATGTTTGACAACTGCCCCGATGACAGGGTTCTTCACATCTATGAAGCCCACAGTTGAGTTTACGACCACAAACCAAAGAGCACTTATGTTCTGTGTCCTAGGAAAAGGCAAAAAAAAAAAAAAAGCATAATTGAACTATAAATGCCACTGGTTTATTTTTTCTCTCTAAGGTCAATAACTAGTAACTGACAAAACACTATAGTGCAAAAAATAGCTTAGGCCAGATCTATACAGCTTTTCCATCAATGTATGGATATACAATTTTTAAAGCAGATTCTGTTAAGTCTTTTGTTGCAAACATAGCTACATCATAGCTTATGCTTCTTCTATTAAGTAATATCCTTCCCCTCTACATTCTCCCTGGAATCACTGCATTGACGAAAAGCCCTTTTGCACTGATCTAACTGCATTTAGCTGGAACATGGTTTTATATTTATAACGATACCCATAAAACAAATCTTGCAAAATAGATGCACACATACAAACTTTTTGAGCGTGACCAATACTGCAAATAGAAAATGAAGATGCACAAAAATGTAAGGATACAAGAGAAAAAAAAGACTGTTAACATCACAACCAAAACCAAACATATACCATATCAAACAATTTTATAAAACCACATGTAAACTTACCACACAGCAGACCTCATTACACTTGTGTCGTCCACATGATCTTTTCTTGTTGCATCGCTTGTCACACATGAATGTAATAGCAGCTATTAAAAAAAAAAAGCCCCCAAAAAGTATTAACTTTTATGTCTTTGCTGATGCTGAAAACAAAAGCTGCAATCACAATATTATGCTAAGGCTGTTGCAGGGCATGGTCTAGAAAAGACTTAACATAGAGTAAGCCAGCAAGCAAACTTTTAAATTACTTGTTCTCCCACATTAATTCCCCATGTGAATACTTGCCTTCCTTTAAACAAACCCTTATTCAAAAGGATTTTGGAGAGCAGAATACTTGAAGCTAGTTTATTTCACATTAATCTTCACACCATAACCTAAACAGGATATTCTGATACAATGAAATACTACAAACATCCACAACTGCTTAAATTGGTAGGGCAGTAACAGCCAGCTAAAAACAACTATGCTGATATCCTCATGAAACTAGTGCTAACAAAGAACATCCTTATTACCATACACAAGTAACAAAAGCAATCACTTCTGGATTCCACAAGAGCAAAGACATAGACGAAAGCTCAAATTAGGAAACATGCATATTAGTTCCTTATATCTTGTAAATAAGTACCTCAGTATGACAGGGGTCCATCAAGTAAAGATTTCACCTGGGGGAATTTTGAGATGCTACATCCAGAGTACCAAGAAACATCAAACAGGAACTGCCAAGCTCAGATGCAAAGACCAGCTGCAAAAATCAGCAGCATACCATGTGAAGCAGAATCAAAGCTTGTATTTCCCCAGAAACTTGGGCAAGAGCAGAGTAAAACTCTTACTTTGAATCTGAGCTGTGGAAGTTGACCCAAAGATATATAGGATGATGGGAGGGGGCAAACTATTGAATATGGTGGCATACAAAACTGTTCAAAATGAAACAGACAGATTTGTCTGTAATCTTTGAGACCAAATGTGAAGAAGTCTTTCCTTATGTAAAAGATGTATGAAAATTAAAGATGTTTATTTCAAACCCCTTCCCCAAAATAGCAGCATGACCAGCACCATGACCAAGCAGCAGCAATGACCAACTTGACACAGAAGTACGGATAAAAGAAGGAGTACTGATCAGCTGTTTGCCAACTTTGTCAATCAAATCCCAAATTACTATGAGCTGCATATAATTTTAAAAACAATTTCACATTATATATGTATTACAGCCTTGTACCTTTATTTCTGAGAAGAGTACATGGGACTTCCTAGGAAACAAACAAGGAGCCATTAGGTTAGAACAGATGAAACATCTGAACCATACTTATCTAGAAAACTCTTGGTCACATAATAGAGAAAGACTCAGCACACTCAGTTTTCAAGCGTATAACACATTTGTATGCAAAAGTGAAACAAGAGTAGGAAAAAAATCCTCAAATATTTTAACATAATATTTTTTTTCCATAAAGAGTCAATACCAATTAAATAAAAATTGTAGTTTCGTATTCTCCACTTAATTCAGCAGATAATGCTGTGAAATGACAAAATCAGGTCTGTCCTAAGAAACCAGAAACTTGCATGATGGAAACCAATAGAGATCTCCTAGAGAATACTTGACAGCCCATAAATCTGTGTTTTGACCAACTGTCCCAAAAATGCAATGAGTAAAAAAAAAAAAAAAAGAAAGAGTAAAGTCAAATCTTATGCTCTAAGAAGTTATACCTAAAGATCTCAACATAAAAATAAAATGAGATGCATGAAAATAACATTGTTGACATTTGAACCTTCAGTCATCACAATTTTATATTCTGAGTTGTCATTTCTGAGTATCACATTTTTCATGACTGATTTAAATTATCACTGTAGTTCACTCTTACCTTTTCAAGAAGCATCTTTCTGGTGTCTGAGAAGCTGCATAAACTAAAACCAAAACCTCAGTACTTTATTTCAGGACTCAAAATACAATCTGAAGCCTTCTACCCCATAATTACCTTCAGCAAACTTGTAGGAGAAAGCTGTTCCAACCTCTAGCAAACTCACAGTCACTTCTATGTACCTATAGACTTATATATTCAGAATGTTATATTGCAGATGATATATAACGGTTCAAAAAAGTCATCAGAACTCCTGTGATTGTAACAAAAATTTCAAAGCTATGATTACAGAAAGTAGTATACTTTAAAAATATACTAATTATTATATAACAATAGCTGAGAATCTGCAGGGTCATGTATAAATGTACAAAGAATGGGACTCAGTATAAACTTCAAATTCTCTACAAAAATATCTACAAGAAATATGTAAGATATTACTATAAAGTTTTAATTAGGCTGACCTCTCTCAGTTTACTTTACTCTTGGTAAAACTACCATTCTTTGCGCTATACAAATACTCCAGGATAATACAGGATTTTGCACACCACTTACGCTAGTAGAACTCTGTGCAAACTTTGCCAAAATACTTCAAAAATTGCCTCCATAGTAAATAGCCTATATTCAGCTTCACAGTATAATCTAATTCCCAAATCTTCGTTTGTGAAGCCTAGCCATGATGATGACAATCTAATTAGCATGTACCAGGTTCTTGCAACTAAGGAGCACAGCACCTCTTATGCTTCTTAGCTTTCTTTTCCTCGACTACTTCAGCTCCTTTCTCTCCACAGCTTTAAAAACCAACAAAGATTACCTGTTTCCATGGTCAAGCTTTACATACTCACCTTTTTTTTGAAGCCACACCTACAATAAATATTTGATGTGTGAGAACATGGTCTACAGTCTCCTTCATGGCAAAGGCTTTCACATGTATGAATGAACTCTAGCAAAACGAAAATACAAATATTAAGAATAAAAAAATAAAATCTATGACCTGGAATTTCATATTTATCAGGAGTATCACTGGTCAAAGATACTAAGCTTATGTGCAGCTGGGTTTTATTTCCTGATTTTAAAGCATCATTATGAACAAACAGCCAGACTGCAAGCTCTGCAATGGTTTTTAAATTTAGTTTGGTTAAAACTCAAAAGCACTAATCAAATAATTATTTATTGAAATAAAACATTTAAGGACCACTTTTTTCTGTTTTGTTTTAAACTATGAGATACTTTGAATACTATGACACAGAAATTTCTAATTACCATAGCTACCACAAGAGAGAGGTTTGCCACATGTTTTTCCACATGACGGGATAGGATCTGTGCATATTTTACGTTCAACACATCCTAGTTCCAGTAACTTGCTGAGAGGAGTCTGACCACAGGGACAGCGATACACTACTTGTGGAAGTCGTGGACAGAGCTGGCAAGGCTGAGGATGGCATACTTGCTTACAGTTGTGCCTCCCACAATTTAATTTCCTGGTTAAAAAAAAACAAAATCAAAGAAATAACAAAACAAGCAAAAACTTAAAAGGGGAATTATCTAAGAGTATCACGATCACTCAATGTGAATAAAATGACCTTTTTCTTTTCAAAAGCCTGAATTATAGTGACCTTACTTGCCACATATATTCTGACAGGAGAAACTCCCAAATCCATCAGAGAATTCTTCCTTTGACCCACACAATACTTCTTTAAAGTTGCTTCCACAGTAACACACTGAAAGAAAGAGATATTTCACAGAAAACAACACAAGAGAATATCAGTGATAAAACACTTCTAGCATATATAAAAAGGTAAAAAGTGAAAAATTATTAGTCAGTTTTTATTTCAGCAATGGAGGTTTTCTGTCCTGCAGAAGTTGGAATTCCACCATTAGTTGTTTTGATAAGATAAAAACTAAAGGGGAGGTATTATCTGCACAAAAAGCTTACTTATTAAGCAGTATACATAGGAAGTTAATTATTACCTTAAAAGTTGAGAAAACTAACTTGCAATTTTCTATATAAACTGTTCTATGAAAATGTATTTGTATACTGGCATACATACTTACTCAATTCAATTTCCATTCAAGACCAAGTTTGGAAAATTTTAACAGAAATCATTAGAAGCTTGTTGAAATACCTCTTTCTATTTTTCTTCCATGTACTGTTTAAGTCTTGTAATTATAGTAAAAGATTCAGTAGGACCTTAGGACAATTCAGATAAGAAGGTATCAGTTAGTCCAAGCCCTTTCTTAAAGCAGAGTCAGCAGTGAGATCAGACCATGTTACTCAGTGTTTTATTCAGTTGGGTCTTGAAAACCTCCAAGAAAAGAGTTTTTCCTTACAGCTAGTTGTAACTTTTCAATTTACACTCACTGTCTCTCATCCTTCACACATGCATAGCCTCTCTCTGTCTTCTTGATTACTGAAAGGCCACTATTCAGCTGTCTCAAGCTAACAAAGTCCAGTATCACCAGCCTGTCCTAATAAGGTACATGCTCCAACAGCCTAATCATCGTGGCAGGATTCCAACAACAGAGTTTGGTTTTGTTATGTAAAAATTGGCACTTGCCTCTTGGTACTGTTGGTTTTTTTTTACCCTCTTGTTTTCATAGCATAGGATGGATATACATAAAAAATTTCAATACTTACCTTGTTGAACTGTTAACTGGCAAGGTGAACATTTTCCCGCATGGCACACTTGAGTACAGCTGTGCTTACCACAGTTTAAAGTATTTCCACATACATTAGAACAATGAATTTTTGTTGATTGGCCACAGCGAACTGAATGACTGCAGAGAAATGACACCATAGTCTGTCAGCTACCTTAACATCTACAGAGTATTTGATAAAAAGGAAAATGCATTTTCAGTAATATCTTTCTGGAAATAATACCCCTATTTTTTTCACCTGCTTTCCCTCTCCTGCCCCACTAAAGTAGGACACTTATCACAGTAGTGAGGCTACAGATTTTTTCCTGAAGAAAACGGGGGAAAAAAAAACAAGGGTGACACTAAAACCTGAACCTAGTGTATGGTTATGCATTGTGCCAGAAAAGCAGTTATTTCTAATACTGGCATCCTTCCGAAGACTTAAACAATCCTAAGTCCACTGAGCACAATGCAGACAGGAATGTGGGCCTTAACAGTGGGTCAGTAGTCTATGAAAAGCATCGAGTTTTCAATTAAATTGTCAAAAAATGGAACAAAACAATAAATTCTCCTGGTTTTCAACTCTGGCTGGCCCATACAATGCCTGTAAAATGTAAATTTAAAACAGTAACCTCAAAACATCCTAAAGTAAGAGGTGCCATGCTATACATCCTGAATGCTAATACAGGACATGTGAAATAACGCTATTTTGAAGCAAGTTTTAAGTATCAAATGTAGAATTACAAAAATCAGCAATCTGGTGAAGTAGTTGACATCTGGAAAAAATAATAAAACAAAGTTTTATCATTTGAATTTTCACCTATTAAACTTTTAAATGCCAGAAATAGCCAGAAAAACAAAACACAACCAACTAATCAACCAAAAAACCCCAATTAAAAAAAAGCAAAAAAAATCAACCAACCAAAAATAGAAAAAGGAGGTATAATTCAGTAATCTACAACCAATCCATTTTTCTACTGAAGACAAAGTCCTTTCAACTACAAATAATGCCACAGAAATTGTTGCACCACTGTCTAAAAAATTAAGATCATGTGCTAACACTGAAATCAGTTTTTGTTTGCTTTGGTTCTGTAAACAAGCACAGGCAAACAATTTATTACATAGAATCAGTTCTAGGTAGCTAAAAAAGGGATTCTAAAGACTCAGACCAAATGATTATGAGATAGTATGGGTAGTACCATATTGCTGTTGGCAATGACACTATATGCATTAAATATGCAAGGAAATGATAGCCTTCAAGTCTGGACTATACTACAGACTTCTCTGTACAATTTCTGAGAAAAGTACACATTATTTTTGAAATTATTTCTGGAATGAAGTAATTCAAGACAGTATTCCATTCAGATAGAAAAGATGTGAACCTTTTTCTACTAATTTCTTGGAGTCTTCTACCAAATTAAATAAATACTACTACAAGATTTCAAAATCAAATCAACTCACAGACTGTCTGGACAATTCAGCTACATGTATCATAAATGGATAAGTCTCTGTTATTTTGATTTTTTTTCTTGAAAAATTAAAAGTAGTTGCATTTTTTCAAAATAGAAAATTCTTCAAATTATTTTAACCACAAATAAAAGTTACAGCTCAGAAAAAACTTTGTTCAGTATACTTTTAATAAACTACAAAAAAATAAAAAATTAATTTAAAATTTTAATAAACTATTATTTTATTTTTATAATAACTAAACTTTCTTTTGTTTAGTAGAAGCATTCTTACCTTGTTTGTCCACATTCACATGATTTTGTCACAAAGGCTGGGCATGAAGGGCAAGGTCCCGGATGACAAAGACTTTTAAAAAGTTAAAAAAGCAAAGTTAACTTTAGCTTTATTACACTCTCAGAGAAACAATCCACTATGACCCAACCCTAAGTACGTTATCAGAAAATTATACAAGACTCCTACACTCCTGCAGAGTATGAAAGCATTATTAACACACAAAAAATATTGCATTACTACAGTGGGAGTGTCAAATGTCACTAATGCTAAAGGAAAACCAGTATTCCTGCTGCTGTCAAATTAACAGTAACATATTTCTGCTACTAACACATTTCATATTTTACATTTCACCTGCAGACACACATCAACTCAACTGCGTTCATCATTGATAACACCCAAAACAAGCTTCACGTGTCCAAACCATTAATACATTTCTTTTTTCATTGATCTTAAATAGGTTAGAGATAAAAACTTCTCTATGAATTTCTTCTTTTGAGCTGGTGGCTTTATCTTTGAACTCAGCATTTCTGCTGCCACCAGTAAGAGGTGTTGCTCCTCTTCCTGTAAGGTAACATATGGGATATACAGCAAGTCTGCCTCAGTTTTCTTTCTTACCATCAAGTGCAATTTCCTTTGAGTGTCATCAATGCCAGTTTTTTACACAACTATCAGATCTCACCTTCTACTTCAAGAAACACGACATGTTCCCTATCTGCATGTAAGACCTTTGCTGGGTACAGACAAGCCCAGGTTTGTGAAATGATACTTAACTATCTTGTCTGCACTCTTTCTTAGCTAGCTCCCAGTTCCCTTCCTTTGCAAATACAGCAGCTCTCATGTGGAGCAGTTATTATTGGCCGGGACTGACCTGCACAGACGTCCAAGCCAAAAGAAAAATAAAAAACTCAGAAACACAGACTACCCAGTTTCATGGTAATTACTAAATTCCCCAAGTACAGTCACTACACAAGTACTAATTAGTTTACCAGTTACTATAGTCATATGCTATACAGTTGAGTCATTTCACCAGCTTGTCAACAGTGGTCTGGATTCCCTTCTTCCTTTTACCACTCCTCCCAGCTGACAATAAGGCCTAATCTATCACTCAACTTATGCTGGCCCTAAGAGTAGAGCCAAGCAATTACACTATGAACTAATTCAAAACAATAAAAAAAATCCCATCACACAAAACAAACCCAAAAAAAACAAAGACACCACAACCCTTCCTCTTCATAGGTCAGTTCTATGACATAATGCAGAGTTGAAAAAGTACAAGAGCACATACAAGGAAAGGGAGAAAAAAGCAAAACTGGATGGAGCAGCCAAAACATGATACAGAGGAAAATAGGAAGAAGAAGAAACCAAAACCACTGAATTAATTAAAACTGTGTGCTGATTTAGAAGTAAACCTGTGCAAAAAATGAACCCAACTCAAGAGAGATTACAAGTCAGAGTTACAATTTACTAAAAAAGATTACAGCACCAAAGATCTATGAAGGAAGTCCAGACACTAAAATTTAAATTAATATAGAGAAAATTTAATTTACTGCCTTTGTAAGACCTTTTTCAAATGCTCTTAAATCCTTGTATAGTTCCAGTTGGCAGGGAGAACTCAGAGTCTCAGAAGAAGTTTAAGTTTGCCATGAAGCTTATTATCAGGAACATTTTATTGAAGGTTAAGCTAGGTGTTTCTTTGATGTAGAACCCAACAAAGCAAAATTAATTTCAAGTGTATTAAACTAAAAACGTGAAGAGAACTCACTCTGTGAAGTGCTATGCACACCACAGCTAAACACTAAAAAAAGGTTTGCAAAGCACTCCCCTTTCAAACAGCTGCTTGCCTGTTCCTCAGGTCTGCCAAGTCAGCTGTTCATATAAATGGTTACTATTTCAATAAACATGAGTAAATACTAAAGATTTATCATTAAACCAGCGTAAATTACCTTCAATTATTTTCACTAAAATGGGGCTAGCTAGTGCCACACTTAGCACAATCATCCAATTAAACTCTATCCCATAGAAAGGAGATTAACACAATGACATCTACAGTAAAAAAAAAAACAAAAAAAAACCAAAAAACCCCAACTAAACAAAAAAAACCAACCAGAAAAACCCCCAAACAAACAACAGAATGGCCAAATTGAGGAAATACGGTTGGGACTTAGCCAATCATTAAAAAATCCATATGCAAAGTGCGGTAGAGGAAGCAAAGGCCTCAAACCCAAAATGTAAATGAATAACCAATATACCACTTCAGTAGAAAATAATTTGTTCTGGTGGTATAAAGGGGATCAACATATAAATGCAAGCTGGTTACAGGCAGCAGTAGGCTGAAGAATTGCTGTATCTCTCTAGACTAATTTTTTAAATTTGAACACCAACGCCAGAAATTCCTTACAAGTGCAAAAGAGATGCCAAATAATATGAAAGCCTGTGATGGTTTTGGCTTGGATGGAGTTAATTTTCTTCCCAGTAGCTAGTATGGCGCTGTGTTTTGGATTTGTACTGAAAATGGTGTTTTAAATGAAGAGATGTTTTCATTATTGCTGAGCAGTACTTACACAGCATCACAGCCTTTTCTGCCTCTCACACCACCCCACTGAGGAGGCTGAGGGTGCACAAGAAGCTAGGAGAAAACACAGACAGCTGACCTCAACTGGCCAAGGGAATATTCCACACCACATGGTGCCATGCTCAGCATACAAGCCTGGGTCAAAAGAAGGAAGGGAGGATGTTCAGAGGGATGGCATTTGTCTTCCCAAGTCACTGTTATGTGTGATGGAGCTCTGCTTTCCTGGAGATGGCTGAACACCAGCCTGTCCATGGGAAGCAGTAAATGAATTCCTTATTTTCCTTTGCTTGCATGCATAGCTTTGCTTTACCTGTTAAACTGTCTTTACCTCAATTCACAACTTTTTCCACTTTTACCCTTCTATTTCTCTCTCCCATTCCACCATCGGGGAGTAAGTGAGCACCTGTGTGGGGCTTGTTTGCTATCTGAGGCTAAACCACCACAGAGCCATAACCAGCAGGTTCGCAAAACCTATGGTAACATGGCTTTGATTCCAACCGAAAATATGCAGGGTGTGTACAACTCATTACATCATTTTAGACAGTGCTTGGAGACAAAGACCTCAAAAATGATGGTCTAACACTGCAAAATTGAAAACTATGTGAAAGTAGACCACCCCACAAACAACACATTTCTTGCCTGAAACTGGCTGTCATCCTAATCTCTATCTTATCAAGGATATGAGGTTTAATATCCTTTCCAAAAGCATCTATGTGATGCTGAGAGCTCTAGACATTCTCATTACCCATATCACTATTAGTTCTCTTTTGAATCTTATTATTTGCATCAATTTCTTGCAGGGAGATGCCCAGCCTAGCAGAATGTATATGATACATTCTGAATTTGCCACCTTCTGATTTAATTGAAGGTCTCATTTCCTAATCAGGGAACACAGCGGGGCCCAGGAAGGGGACAGGAAGAGAAACTCCCTTATTTTCAATGCTTTCTTGATAAAACTATTCGCTTTACAAAGTATTAAAGGATCAAAATTTTTTCCCATGCCTTTTAATCCAATTCTTTCTCCTCAGCCACAGGAGTCTGATGATTACTAAGTTTTAAAGAGAAAACAGATTCTCAAGTAATTTAATTCCCTTTGATCTACTTCATTTGCTACTTCATATTACATTAAGAGTAATGTAACCACCTAAGCAGCACTTAGAAGAGCACATCTGGCACCACCAAAAGATTATGTGACTAGTCACATCACTCTCAGAGCTGCTCGTTCTACAGGGGAAAATTTGTTCACAGAGCCTAGCATACAGCATAACACAATGCATACAGAAGGCAGACAGGAGGGAAGCTGAAGTTTAGACCACTACCAACTGTTACAATGGCTTGCTTTCAACACCTCCTGTACTCTGCACATTTCATCTGCATGGCAGAGGGAGCAAATACAAGCATCCTCATGCAAATCAATGAGAAGAATGTTCCTCTGATGCCATGTATGAGGAGAAGAGGGAATGATGTTTGTTTGATCATGGTAGCATCACATCAGATAGCTGAAGTACAGATGCATAGTGTGTGGTTTCTGAAAACTCAAGACAATACTGCAATTCAAATTCTGTTACAGACACTGCATAAATAATTCCGATCTAAAGAGCAGGGGATAGCTATAAGCATCTAAATGCTGTGATTGTTGATGTAATAGCCACAAAGATAACAAATAAAGCAAGAATCCCATGACTCAAATGCAGGTTGCCCAAGACTCAAATTCAAGTCTCACCAACGAAAAGGGTTCATAACAAGGATTCATCCAGATGAGCTCTTTCAGAGGCTAAAGTTCTGCAGATGTGAGAGGTTTGCTCAACTGGAAGACAATGGGTGGTGCCGGACTTTAAATGAGACACATACTGCAAAGGGTTTCCCAGAATAGATGGAATTAAATAAATACTAGAGGAAACAGCAACATCAAGACCACCACTGCAAGACTCAGATATAACATCAGACTCAGTGCACTGCCAATAACAAAGGGACTCATCCCTACTATCAATAAAGTCACATAGACTTGAGAGGCATGTGAACAGTCTTCCCAAAAGAATTCGTCATACCATCAGACCGTGAGGTAAAAAGTCTTGATGCTGACATGAAACATTAGACCCAGAAGGGTCAGGGGCAGGCATGGTGGTGTGGTGTTGAAAAGCTAAAACAAAAACAGCTTTTAGGGTATCAGTGAGCAGAATGGCAGTTCTGGTTCAAACCTTATCATCTTACGGTAATATGTGGGAGCAGGGGAAAATGGCACACAGCAAATCCACAGTCCAAATAAATTACTGTTTGCAAGAATAACTTCTGAGATCATCTAAACTTGAGCAAGAATCATGAAATAGACTTCTGGTCCTGATGGCAACATCTATCCTTGAGCATTCTCTTGAGGAAAAACTCTGCCCAGACACAGATCGTGATCCAGACTTATCATTTGCATTCAAATGATAACGCTCTACATATCTTAACTCCACCACTCTGATATAGCAAGAGGGAACCAAGTTTCTACCTGCTTTTTGATTTAGCAGATGGAGGCTGCCTGTGTCCTCATAAATACCTGAGATTCCCATATGGGGGGGAATGTCCAGAACTGGGTAACATTGATGTTGAAAGTGCATTCCTCTCCAGGTCACTATCACAAACACCCATCATCTTGATCTGCACCCCTACTATTTCCTTACCTCCAGGACTGGATGATCTCAGCATAGTTTTGCTCATGTGGAACATGAGCTGAATGATAACATTTTTAAATATGATACAACTGGTCACAAATTGGGACTCAATTTTCACAGCTTTTTGATAAGACTACTAGGGACTAGGAATTCATAGTACCCCCCAGTGGTACAATATTGCTACCACTCTTCAAAAGACTTCCCAGAAGACAATGCCAGAGACTAAGCCCCCGCTGTTGACTAGGAGAGAAAAGAAGAGAAGAACGTCTGCGTCTTCCAAGCACTACAGGGAAGTTTGTCAGGCAGCAAACTGCAGCTAGGGCATTCTCAAAGTAGTTAAGAAGTCTGTTTATTTCTTACTGGACAAAATGTATCGCCATGAACAAATTCCTCTCCTGAGACGGAGGCCTGGAGGTGGCCTCCAAGAGAATCAGTGTTCTGTTCAGGGTATCAGCTACATCAAGTGTAGTCTGAAAGATGATCTGTGTTTCAGTTTTACCCTGCAAACCACAGCAAAGAGGATCTAGCGTGATTACATGAATCAAGAAAACTGCTATAGCACTGAAATGAAATATAATACAAATCATGTGCATAAATACATAAGATAGAAATACAAATGAAATCTAATACTGAAAAGAAATCTAATACAACATTTTCATGTGTGAGAAAGAAGTATTAAAGAGTAAAAAAGTATTCTGTCACTCAACAAAATGTTGAAATATACTTGAAACAGAACACATTAAATAAAAAGTTCAGACTAAAGTTCAAGTAAAGTTCTGAGCTTTAGCAAACCTTGGAAAAAGTGTCAGATGACCATATATTTCTTGGAATGACTGAATTTTTTCACTGTGTACCAAGAGCAGAAAAAAATGCTTCTGACTATTAAAAATTTCTCAAAACAGAAATATGAGCAGACACTATGGACCAACTTCCACACATGGAAATTGAAGTTGTATACACTAGGAGCAACATATAATTTTTTTTTTTTACTAGCATGCATATTTATAGATTGAAAAAGATCATCTTATGCTGTTAATCTTAACAAAACTACCACACTGCTAAAAAAAATCTAAAGGAAAACATCCAAAACTGAAAACAGAGGTGCTCTCCTTTGCCTCTCTTCACTGAATTATACTAAAATATGTTAGCAAAACCAAATTGAGTTATATATACTGATTAAAATCTCCATGAGGAATTCTGGTTAAACCATCTGGTATCTCAACAAACAGATAAATACACATAATGCCCTTTTATCCTCAACAGTTTACAAGCCAAACAAAGAAACACAGGAAACAAGTGAGTGGTCCTTCAGTTTAACCAAGTCCCACTGATCTCAAATTAAGAAACACAAACACTATTACATGAAAAGCAGCACCGAAAACATCTACTGGACGACTGGACTCGTTTAAAATTACTTCTATTCACTATTATTTCTCTACTTCAATGAAAGTTCTTGAAACCAAGTCAGACAGCTACTTCAGTTCCTAAAATATGATAGATATGGTGCTACAACAATTGTGGACCTTCTGTTCATGCTGTCATATGAACTCACTTTAGACATACAAACACAACCTCCATTCCTTTCAGGCTTCAGCTGATCTAAAAACCTCTTTAGGTTCTAAATCTCTAAGCATATCCTGTAGTCAAAAAATACACAAATAAAGTCTTCAGAAATTTTCTCTAAATCATTTCAATATTCATATGATAAACATTTACTTACATGTTACAAAGATGTGGACAGTCTAAACACTGTCTCTTCTTTCCACAAAGTTCCCCACAGCTATGTGGGATTTCATTTCTATTCCATTCAGGATTGTGCACCTTACCTAAACCATGTCAAAGACAAAAAGATATTTATTGCTTTGAATATAAGACTGATTTTTTTAAAAATATCATACTGAAAAGAAAAAGCTATATTTTCAATACTGGCAGTAGTCTTCTTTGAAAAATAAAATTACACAGATGTTTATGTTTTTCTGTACTTTCAGTGCTGATATACATTCAACTTCTTTAAAAGAATGTACTTTTGGAATATCAAGCTCCAGAAGATTCTTTCCTTCTGTACTGAGTCAGCGGACGCATAGGTAGCTGGTACTTTACATTAAATTAAACTGATAAAGTACATAAAAATTAAAAGCCCCCTTTAGTTGGTCAGGTTGCGAGGAAGCTAAGAAAATTAAAGGGTGAAATTCACTTGCTGCCTCAACGCAGCAGGAAAAAAAAAAAAAAGGAAAGAAAGAAGATCTAGCTGCTATGGTGATGGGGAACAGGGAATTAAATAGGGGAATAGGGAATTAAATGACTGGGCAAATTATAAAAGTCCCTTCTCTAAAAAGAAGCATTCTACATTAATCTAAACATTAAAGGTTGATGAAGTTTGATGAATGCAGCAGGAAGTCTTAAACAAGAAGTATGTTAGCTTTGAGTATTCTGTATTTAAGATAAGCACCAAAACATATTTTAATTAATCTGACATACTGCTATCAAATCTCATAGTTCTAAGTGCATGAGATGACCATCAAGGTTAAGGTTAATTGCAATGGTTAACACTCCCCTGGCTTTCTTCAAGAAAGGAATTAAATTACCAGTGAAGGAACCCAGCCAATGTTATAAATTTGAGTTGTGACAATTTAAAGCAGCAAGAAAAATTTCAGGTGATATAGTTACATAATTTTAACTCTTTTAGTACATCTTTGTATATTCTACAAGTAGTAAGTTTAGAAAATACAAATAAATGCTATAAATAGCTTGCATTCACCTGAGTTTCAACTAAACTAACTGAAAATTCAGGAAAATCCCAAAAATCAGAAGCTTCAGAAGAAAAATAAGCTAGGAATTTCCTCATAGAAGGGAGGGGAAAACATAAAAAAAACACACTTAACCACACTCAGTACATAGTCAGTATTTTGCATCAAATAGAAGATAGCTTTGCACGTGTCCAAATTATGTATCATTAACACTATCTAGAGAAGATTAAACACTTGCATTACAACATTGTGCTCTGCAAATAGTAATACTGCGGACAACCTAAAGTCCTTACTGTAGATCTCCTAAAACTGTGAAATGGTCTTTAAGCTCGGGCACAATTTCTTCCCTATTTAACAGACAGACGACCTGTCTTAAAAAGTCTAATTTTCATTTGGTCAACACAATCATTCATGGTCAATTCATTCTAACAGAATTATTATCCCTATACTCATAAGATATTTAAAACCTCTGTCTTAGCTGCACTGCACTGTTCCTAACCAATTCACTGACACATTTAGACAAAAAGAATTATAGATAAAATTGTTTCCTATTTCCCTTTCTTTAGGGCAAGTTTACTGACACCAAGTTCTGGTCTCAACTTCAGAACATCCTATTTTGTAGAAAGAGAGGTGAAATTTTCCAGTCACTCTGACCTAAGGAAGGGAAACCTATGTGAAATCAGTACAGATTTCAGAAATGTAAATCCCAAACAAAACTTATCCACACGTGTGCAATTAAGTTACATAATTCATTTCTCCTTTTTTGTCATATATTTATGGGCTGGTGAATGCTATACTTGTGTCATTTACCTTTTTTATTAAACATATTGTAATGGGTTTGTTACTCTCTGGGAGAAGGAAATGGAAATAGGATACGTCATTTGATGTGTATTTTACCAATAAGATATTCCATACTATGTTACATCAGCTCAGATATAAAAGACGGGAAGGAAGTAAGCGCTCTCTCTTCTCTTCCCAGTAGCTGCATGGTGGTGGATGGGCCGCTTCTTCTTCAGAGGAAAATGTCTTTCGTGGAGAAGTAGTCTTTATTGTTAATTTTCCCTGTGTGTATAGTGCTTAGTTCTTTTTTTTCCCCCTCTCTGTGTAAATATAAATCTGCCTTTCTTCGTAAATCTCGGGGGTTTATGTTCTTTTCATCTCCCCTTTTCCCTCTGGCCGGGGCGGGGGGAGACCTTCACAGCCTTGGTGGACACCTGGTGTTCAGCCAAAGTAAACTATCCCAGGACAGATATATACACATAAAAATCTGAAAAGTCTGAATATTTTTTCCTATTTAACCTGTATGTGTCCCCGAACAACAGAAATGACAAAATTGCTAAATCAATTTAAAGGTTTAGGTAGTTGTATGTTTGGTGTATCTCGCCAAAAAAAAGACATAACACATGCAGATTATTTCATTCCTTCTACCGAAGGAAACTTTCAAGATACTAGCCCAAATCTATCATCATTCCACAAAAATCACTATTTTTACATAATGATATGAAAATATTTATCATTTCTGATTTAGCATTTCTTTATTTTTCAGGCATCATATGTGTGATTCGCTGTGCACCCATGTCCCAGTGTCAATTTTTTTTTAAGTTAAATTTCAGGCATGTAAGTAAACAAGCACCAACACTGAAATTCATATTAAAAAAAAAAATCAAAATGACAAAACTTTTTCTTTACAAGCAAGCAAGAAACTCACCACAGAAACAAGTGTAAGTCTTAGGAACTTGCATAGAAGCATTCTGACAAGCTGGACATCTCCAACCACTATTGCCATCTGTAGATAAAAAAAAACAAAAGATAAAAAAACCTTGAAGGAGCTAATCTGCAAACCTAGAATAAGTGCTTTTGCCTTGTTTCTTACCACAGGTGGAAACAAACTATTTTTTTCCATTTACTCAGAAGTAGTGAAAAAGCAGGTTAATAAAAATGCATTTTATACAGTATCAACATCTGTACAGCAGTGCTACTACATTTGACCAGGCTTCAGTTCTTTATAGAAGCAAAACCGAATTTTAAAATTCCACTTTTTCTCGTATCATATGCCCTCCTACAAGACATACTGCTAGAAGATAAGATAGTTGTCACCATATCTAAAGATGCGAGAAACAAAGTGTTAAAGAGAGGGAAATGGGTAATGATGCCTGCTTAGCTGGTGCTAAGAAAAAAATCTAGGAGCCTTAGCTGGGGTGAGATAAGAAAGGGTTTAATTGTGTCAAGGCAAGAGATGTTACACAACGCGCCCTGGGCTGTGCCTGAGATGTTACATTTATAACAATATCTGGCCAATCCCAAGTGTGTCCACCCTATAACTTTTGGCCTGGTCCACCCCCTGGCCCACCTCCTGGAATTGGGTTGGGGGGCTTTTTGGGACCCCCTCTTCATCATCCTTCATCATCTTCGGGGTACAGAGAGCAGAGTCACCCAGTTCCTTGACTCTGTCCTGCGGTTTAGGCCAAGATACAAGCGTTCTCCAAACAAGATAGGCTTGCCTTGACTAAGAGACTAAACATTTTCTACTGGATATGGGAATAGGGTTGATATGGGGAGTATGGAATGGGGTGAGAGGATTAAGGAATGTATAAACTAAGGGGTACTACGGGGAGGAGGGAGAAAGGGGTTTGTTTCTAAAATCTACTTCTATTACCTATAAAACTTGTAAGGCTTACAAAATTAGAAAAATAAAAAACATTAGGGGGCTTAAGGCATCAGTAAGAAAAATGTTATTCTCTAGTCTAAAGCACCATCTATATTTTCCTTTTCTTTATCCTCTCATGAGTTTAAGTGTCCTGTAGAAGACCAATTTAGTGTTGCTTCATGTCCACAATAAATCAGTGTTATATAAATCAGAATAATCTATGTTGTTCATTTAAAGTTGCTAATACCTAGACATTGACTAGGACATTATTCTTCAAGCTGGTATTTTAAATAGTAATTTTCTCACTTCTGCGTTCCAGAAGGGTGCTGGTTAGCAGTAAAGGAAAAACTTCAGTGTAAGGAAAGTGAAATTAATGAAGATGTTTCCCAAATTCAGTACACATCTGGCTATGAAGAATATGAATGTGAAAGCACTACTGAACACAACGGGGGGCGGAAAGAGAAAAGATATATGTTTTTTCATATATATATATATATATATATATAGATATTAAAAAAATTAAATAAACTGATTAGCACTTTTTGTCTCTCTTACCTAATCAATTCAATGCTGGTAAATTAATAAAGCTGTGATTTTAGAACTGTTCTTCACAATTAAGAAATCTGACCAAAATTCATGATATTTTCATGTTACAAAAGCAGAAAGGATTGCAAACAGGAAACTCTGTCCGATAAGACAATTGCCCTACAACAATGCGCACACACACCTAGGTTCCCTTAAATTGGGTTGAAGACATCTTACATTAACCATCATAATCCGCAGCGATAATGATTTTAACAAACTGAAAATGACCCAAATTATAGGCTCTAGAAATGCAAATCTAAAGCACGTATATATTTCATGCCTATTCTTACCACTCATTATCCTGACTCATATCATTGTGCCACCAAGATTGCTGCAGTGATCTGTACAATAAAGGGTTGAGCAGCTGTAGGACAGTGGCACAAGGCATTTATTCTAATATTCATGCTCAAGAGCAATCTGCATTTCCTAAGATTTTTTTTCTTTTGACTGCTACAAAAAGAAGCATCTCAGAAGCAGCACCTCAGAGTGTTAAAAGCTACAGGTAAAAACCAACAGACTGAAATATGGATCTGCTGACAAAACTGTTAGCACCTTATGTGGCTCCTCCTAAAGCTAGTATACTAAACCCTAAGAGATTATTTTGTACAGTATACTTAACAACTCCATTAACAATTTCTTTCATTGTTATTCCATGTTAAGTTTTTCAAAAGCTGTGAAGGTAAGTCCACCTTGAAAGCTTCAGGAGGCCAGCAGGCAGCCTCTCCTATCAGCAACTGCCCGGGAACAGGATGCCTAGTCCTCTAAAAGCAACATTTTCTCTAGAGTATAGTGAAGGTCCCCATAAAATAGGAACCTTTCACCAAGCAAAACAGCCTTTCAAGATATATTTTGTTCTTCTTCATCACTGATTATCCTTTGCTCTTTTAAGACGTAAATAACATTCATGCGGGTCCACCCACAAGGAACATACAAAGTTGCTTTCCTCCAAAATTAGAATGAATAAAAGTTTTCTTCAGGATTCAGATGCAATTAGAGTAGTATAGAATGACACCTGACATTCACATTTGTAAAGAGTGGTCCTATAAACACTCCTTACAAATCCTGATTACTGAAGCAAGTGAGAAGGAGGATGACCCTACAGAAAGAATATTCCACTTTCTTGACTATTCTCATAAACAGATGCAAAGTAGGCAGAATTCCAACCAAAGACAGCAAAGGGTAATTGTCTAAGCAAAATCAACACACCTCATTCCATTTTACTAGAGATTGTTTTAGTATTTGCTATCCTCTCCCTCCTTCTGGGATAAAAAGATTCCTTACTTATAATTACTTACTTATTACTTATTATTAATTCAGAAGCCATGTTAGAGGCCAGTATTGGATTGGTACAGATCACTAGCCCACTTGGAAGTGGAGGCCATGGGCAGAGTAGAAAGACACAGTTGTAATAACTCAAATACATCCAATCCTTCCAGACAAAATAAAAGTACCAGTTAAATTACCTTCTCTGCAAAGAAGGGACAAAATGACTTAAACTTTTGTTCCATCAATGTAAGTGCATCATTGAAGCATCAGTTTTTAAAAAAAGTTGAAAAAGGAAGGGGGCAAGTGACAACGATTTCCCCTTTATAAAGTTCTTGTGTGCAGTGCAGATATTTTTGTCAGATTGACCTTAGCTGTGTGATATCTAAAGGTCACATTCCTTCAAGACATAATTCAAAATGTTAGTGAGATGCTTGTTTCCTCATAGGAAAGAATCTTTCCACATGATGGCAAAGTGCTGCTGACAACCTACATTGCAGAAATACTAGATGTTGGATGTCAACTGGTTTAGGTTCAGATGCAGATTGAGATCTGGGTGAGAGTCTAAGACAAGAGGCTACAAACTGCCAACAAAGGGCACGAAGATGGGTGACACCAGTCAGGTGAAGAGATACTGAGACACAGCAGGAGTTGTGAACGGCCAACCTTTTAGATAACAAAGGGCACAGAGAGCAGTGACCTGAGCCAGAGAGCCAGGTGGATGGGCACTGGGAGAGATAGCAGGAGTGGAGGATTTGGGAGGAAGAGCGAGCCTTGTGCACTCTTGGACTCTGAAGGATAAAAGTCCACGAGTCTTTTGTTAGGGGTCCCTCCACAGAGGCACCAGCTTTAGCTGTTTCTGTATTACTGAACTGTGAATAAATTGCTTACGTAACTAGACATCTGAGACTCTCCTATGGGAAACCTGGGGTCAAACTGGTAAGGAAACCTGTGGGGAATCTCGGCCGGACTGAGACCCTAACATGGAATGAAAAGGTGACTGAGAATGGAGGCCTTAGTCCTGACAATATATCGATGCACCCTGAGAGAGGAGAAAAACACCAGGAGAAAGCTGTCCCATGAGAACAAGGACTTATTTTGCACAAAGTGGCTAAGTAGAATGTAAACATGAGAAGAAAACAAGAACAGATGTGCAGAGACACTGTGGGAAAGTAAGACTGTGAGAGTCCACCTATCAACTGTGAGATTGTGTTTTGTGTGTTTGAATTAACCTGTCTGTATAGAGTACGTGTGCCTTAAAACTGTATATAAGGAGCTGCAAAGTGCAGCTCGGGGCTTCTCTTTTCTATCCAATAAACTTTTCTGCTGGATATTCTGTGCTGCGTCCGTTCCAACAGCGACAGAAACCTGGTCTGACTGTGTGAGTGGGGTGTGGAGGGAGTAAAGGTGGGCACCTGTTGGTTCACTGCAGCTGCCTGCTGTGAAGGGGCTTCAGTCTCAGCAGTTAAAGTTCTGGTGTTGAGAATGCGACTGCCAGAGAGCTTTGTAAATGCTCAGGCTGTGAGGTTTCCTCAACACGAATCACAGGTCTAACGTTAGCAGACCGAGAAGAGAGCAACGCCCTGTGACTCCCCACAGATAATCAGGAGACTCTTTCACTCGCCTTGGCCAAACCAGATGCCATTTTTCAGATGACTGTCAAGACAATAGAAGGCAAAGAAGTCTCAGAGGAAAGACATCTTCAGTAAAAGAGAGGCCCTAAGAAGAGAGATACTGTAGAGTGCAAGAAGACTGTTACAGTAACCTTGTTCTCCAAGGAATTTCTAGAATCTAGACATCTAGAACTAAAAATAGTTCCTTGCACTTCTTGCCATCCAAAGATGTAGAGCCCCACACACCTTTTACTTCATTGACACTGTGTAGCAGGATGCTCTGCCCTGGAATGTGACCAAGTAACTCTAACAATTTGCAAGGCTATCAGTGGTGGGCTGAGAGGGGGCTCATGTGCTAGTTTTGGTGTTGAATTATGCCAAAACCAGCTGGACACATCAACTCCAAACTAACATCTTGATAGTGAGGCAAAGATTTGGCAGATAAGCTGCTAAGCTGACCTGGAGACATGACTGGCAGTCAATCATTTTATAATATAAAGTCCAGTTCCATGTTCGCATGGTAAATTTCTTCTAACGTACTCTTCTTGGAATGTGTGTGGAGTTTTCTCCCTTGAAGTGGGGCTACCTCTCAAGTATAGTCCTGGAGGTTGAGTGAAAGAGATTTTTGCCCAGGACAACTGGTACGGGTGAGTTACATCAAATCTCGACTTAATAATTGTTTCTGGATTTTTTTGCTAGCTTTAATATAATTGCTTTGATACAGTGCACTATACTATATTATACTAAACATTTTAGCTTTTATGCACTGTAGTAAACAACTCTGATTAAGATCCTTTGTCTAGCCATTTGTCATAATAAGTAATACATTCTATATAAATATATCCAGTTTGCCATCTTCAACCCTTCAGGACAAAGTCGTACTTTTAAAACGACTGACAAAGTCTGATGCTAAGATTGGATCCAGCTGCCTCTCTGAGAAGGACTTTAGAAAGCAAGGGGGTCCTTTCTGCACTTCATGACTCAATAAACTTCTCTAATAAACTTTGTCTGAAGCTCCCACTCCTACTCACAACACAATGATCTAGAATAGTTCACTTCCCTCTCCAACTGGACCCACCTTTGCATTGGTGCCAACTTGATGACCTGCTACGGACCTGAAAATTTTTATGCTGGTTTCTCTCCCGCACTGCTAGCCACCACTGTACAGCTGCAAAACTCTGAAAAGTTTACTCAGAACCTTTGCTCAGACACTTTGCCAGGCGCATGCAGACACACACACACACTCAACTCCCCCTCGATGCCACCAGACTTCCAGAATCCTCCAGAAAGATGCCCACAGATCTTCTGTGCATGCCCAGAACCCCTCCTGGAGGAGGTATTGGGGCACTTATTGGAAGAATCAGGGTTATAAATCCCCCAATTTTTTATGTGTATGCAGGCCCCCTCCTCTGATGGACCAGGACTATGTATTGCGACCATGATCACCCACACGTCACTGGAGCCACAAATGGTGATATCTATCTCTTTTCCTATCTCTCTCTATTTTTCTTTTTCCAATTTTCCTCTCTTAGGAATGGCTATATACCCCTTTTTGAATGTTACCTTTTTTCCCAGTTATGTTTCAAAGCAGTAGCTCTAGTAAAATTCATTGTTTTATTGGTTATTTAGCATCATTTCTCTTTAATCCACCCCAACAGATCCCTTTAACAATGAACCTAACTGCCCTGCCTCAGAGGCGGGTACAATACTGGTTACCCTAAACCAGTATTTTTAAGTAGTTTTCCAACACAAGAAACACATGAACTGGCTACTATATGTATTTGAGAGAAAAATTATTTCTACATATAATATACATTTGAGAATATATATTATATATAATAGGTAAATATAATATAAATTTGAGAAAATACCAACCTTCCGCTTGTGAAGCTGGTGATCGTGCCCACTTCTTAATGCAATTCAGGTGGAATACATGATAACAATTCTGACAGCTCCACACTGGGGCTACTATTCGGACCACCTCACAGCATACCATGCACTCATACTTTTCTGTGGTCAGCTGTTCAATCAATGACCCTGCAAATGAAATATATTATTTGTGCATAAAACATCAGCTAGCTGAGAAACAAAATTCAAATTAAGTTCCAAGACTTCTTTTATATCATAACAAAACTTCTTTTACCTGTGTGGCTATAAATAAGATATTGGTTTACTCCTGGAAGATTTCAGTTTGATACTTTGTATACATTTCTTTAGTTTCAGAGCAGAAAGAAAGGGAATGAGATTCCCATGAAAGCGGCAACAAAAATTCCTGCTGATGAATGGCACTCATTCTGATCTTACAAATTAGTCAATAGTCTTAAGAGTGGCAGAAGCTTGAGATTTTACTCATCACTTTATATGGGAACTTTGTCTTCGCATAAAGTTTAAACCAAAAAGATGAAAGTTCTTAGCTACAGAAATTTCAGCCAAAATTAAACTTAATTCTTATCCTTGAGTATTCCTGGGGAACCACACAACAAATATCAACAGTGGAGTGCCTGAATTATGGGAAAAAGCCCTTTGTAAACTGACTGTTTTAGGAGTGGAATTACTGGGGAACAACAGTAGAAGGACAGGGTCTTTTGAGCCATATGAAAGAATGCAAAAAAGTACTTTGAAAATAAAGAAAGAACTCCACATGAAAGTCAAAACCACCTGAAAAGTTAGATGTGCAGCCATAACAAAAGCACAACAGCTTCATTTCTGCCATCTTAATTCTCCCATCAAGGTAAGGCTACGAAGTCCACCTTAAAAATGTCCACCGAATTTTAAAATATCTTAAATACAAGCGTAAAGTAAAAACGTAACGTTTTTAGAGTGTGACAATACAAGGAAAGTTTGAATTCATAATGAAGGAAAAGAAAATGAAAATAACAGAAGAAAATTACTATAAATTCAAAATGTGCTTGTACCACACATGAGTGCAAGCAAGCCCGTGGCTGCCTGGAAACTTGCAAGTGTTAATACTGTATGCTCTCCTTAATAGGATTTTCAAGTTTCTTTTCTAGCCCTCCTGCATCAAGCACCACAAGATTTAAAATTAACAGTCATTTCTCCTTCTGTTCTCCCATAATTATCTGCTGTAAAAGAAGCATCCTCACCTGAAACGTACTTTTCTTCAGAAGCGTAAAGCTATACCATACTCAGAAACTATAGCTGTACCATAAATAGTTAAAAAAACACAAACTCAGTCCTCTGAAAATAGTGGTAGACACTGTTTCCAAAATAGCTTGCAAATAAAGCATGCAAACAAAGACTGCCATTTTGGAGGGAGAAGTTCCTTAAGTTGCCTGTAAAAGATTACTACTTCTCTTCCTGCTTTTTGCACATGATGTTTTTCACTTAATAATAATGCTGGGAGAAAGACTGAGTTTTTTTAAAGAAACCAGGAGCACAAAAGTTAATGCATTTAGGTTACAAAGGATTAAGGAAGATCCTGATCCTTGAGCCTCTCCTAATGGAAGAAAATTTCTGACTAGAGCTATGCTTCCCAATTATGCTACTATTTTTTCATGTCTGAAATAGAAGAGATGCTAAGAAGAAAAATTTTCTATAGATTTGATACCACAGTTATGATAACAGGAACTACTCTATCCATCTCTATCATTCTGGGCTGCAGAAGATAAGGTTGAGATGCTTTGTAAAAAAAACAAATTAATATCATTCTTGGTGTTTCTCCTTATTGCCTCTGAACACTTAAGCCTCACAATTTAAGTGCACACTTAAGCTTATGTAAAACTGAAAGAAAAAGCTACCTAGGTTTCTGTTGAAACAGAAACACTATTTAGTGTTTCTAATAGCACTGAAGAGATTCAGCTGATTTCCATTTAATGTTTTCAGTCACTAGTGGTACGAGTCGGCAGAAAATTTACTCTGACATTCAAAACCTGTGAGACTGCTTTACACTGTGAACACTACGTTTCTGTTCTCAAACTTCCAACAATAGTATCCAGAGATCGCCTCTATTTCTAATCACCTTTCAATACTACCATTGCAGGAAAAAACCACAAAATTCAGTTAGGAGCAGAATACAGTTTCTGTCTGGCATTTTCCTATTTCTACACATAACATGAGACAACTCATTCTGCAAAAATCACTTTAGCATTGTCCTTCTCCAGTCCCATTGTTCAGAATGCTTAGAATTTTACTCCCACAACACACACATTTTAACATGGTCCCTGACCAGGTCATCATTTGCAGTTCGATAGAGAAAAAGAAAAAAACTTAAAACAAAATCTGTCCTTCCCTAGTAAACTTATAGAACATGTCCTCACTCAGAAACCATGATCTACATTTAATTCTACCTTCTGAAACCAATACCAATCTAATGTGAAATATTAAGCCTCTTCAGCTACTCAAGGCAGTAGTTGAAGAGAAGAGTTTAAATTATTCATGATTGTATCTTTAATGCAGAAGTACAGGACAGTCTGGAAAGCTTACCTGTATGAGTTTCTTTGTTTTTTGGTACATCACTTTGCTTTTTCCAGTACTGGGTCCAGCTAAAATGAAGTGCAGGTGCCTGATCCCCCTTTAGCAGGAACTTTCTTCCACTGAGTCTGACAGACTCAGACAATTGATGTCTGACTTCCTTTGTCAAGTTTTCATCATTTTTGTGGACAGGGAGTTCTTTCTTCCTTTCATTTTTATCTTTTGGAGTATATGCAAGAGAAGACTTCTTACCTACTTTTGTATTCTTACTACGGTGAGAATCGTGTCTTTTCTGACACTCCTTTTCTACTGAGGGTTTATTCCACACAGGCTTCCGGGGATATCTTTTGTTTAGATAATTGTAGCTTTTTTGCTCATCCCCACTACCAACAGGTGCATCACAGAATGCCTTTCCAATAGAAGATTCTGAAGAGTCAGACTGTGTCAAATCCAAAGATGGAACATTTTCAAGCAGCTCTACTTTCTGTTTAGAGCTCACTCTCTTTTCACGGTCATGTACTTGCTTTCCCTTCTCCCTGAAACCTCTTCCAGATGCATGCATCAGATGCGTTTTCTTTGGCTTTGCTCCTCTGCTATCTGCATTAGGTACCTCCCTGTCACTCTCTGAGGAGAGAAAATCATTGTATCCTCTAGGAGGTGCTCTTCTACTAGGTACTATTGCAACATCTGAAATTTCTGGACCTGCAACAGCATCAGCAGCACTTTGCCTTATCTTATTTCTAGTACATGTGCTATCATTTCTTGATCTGTGCAATCTCTGGCTTGGCAAGTTGCGATTCTTCAAACTTTTACTGGTACTAAAATACTGGTGGAAGTCTTCAGAATTCCCATATTGACTTTCTATATTACAAAAGCCATGGTGCTTTGTGGAAGAGCTTTCACAGCCTGTACCTCTTTCAGAAGACAGACTAGGAAACGATAAATTACTTCTATTCTGATTACTGTTAGACTCTTTCTTATCTTTATTTACCCAGTTTATATCTGTAGGTTGTCTTTCTCCAGGAATGGAATCAGCAGCATCAGGATTGAAATTCAATGTACCTAAAAATTAAAAAATAGAAGCAAATATGTAAAACTATGAAATAGTAAATACTTCTTTTCAGCAAAATTACCACACATGCAAAGGTCCAGAAGTTCAATCAATCCCACATTTCATACAACAACTGCAAACAAGTTTCCAGAAACTAGAACTGAATCATACAGTGCTTTGTAGAAGCCTCCTCTTGTTATCTTTACAGAAGGACTGTGATGACCCAGAGTTAAGAATATAAAAATAAAAGATAAAGAAAAACGTTTGAAGCAGTACAAGACATGCAAGTGTGATAATCAATGTTTAATAGCTGAAGTTTTTCCTAGCACGTTTACATACATACATACACGAACCTGAAGAAAAAGGCGTTCTTTAAATACAATTGTCTACATCTGAAATTTTAATATTATACAAAACTTTGAATATAAATTAAAAGTAGCAATAGTAAATGTTTGCATGAACTCTGATTATACTGTTCTACATACAGACATATTAAATAGTAAAGGGACTATCCAGGGCAGCTTTGAAAAATTGTTTTTCTGAGGCCATCAACATCACCCATGCTTCTACTTCAGAGGTCTTCTGTAATTTCTATGTCTCTAAATAAAAGAAAGAGGTGTACATAGGAAATTCTATGTTGCTCAGTTTCCTGTAACATTGCGCCAGCAGTGCCTGCCTGTAACAAAATTATTAGGTGAATATCAGGGACAGTTTAACAGTCTGTGGCATATTGGTTAAGTCTTACACAGGAACATAAAAAAGAGAAGAAATTTCTAAAATCTCATGGGGGTACTACCGATTTTACAGGTTGAGTAGGTTACCCCTCATGGTAGGGCAGGGTGCAGTTTATTCCTAGTTCATGAGAATTCAAAGAAATAAGTGCTTAGGCTATGACTTAGACCAAGAGACTCTCCAAAAAGCTAATGCTACCTAGGTCTCTCAAGTACTGTTATAGGTTTAAAATCGTCTCTTGTAATTTTACCATACCACCATTAGGGGGTACGTGCTGACAACAGCACCATGATCAATACAGAAGTGGAACGAAACAAACAATACCGATTAGTACCAGTTTTTCTGACTGGACAAGCACTCATTTTTTAATTGACCCCTTTTTATCGAGATACTATTTTTGGCTGAATTTATGGGTGTCTCGAGTACTGTGTGCAGTTTTGGGCTCCACAACACAAGAAGGTTATAGAAATATTAGAATGTGTACAAAGGAGGGCAACAAAGACAGTGAAAGGACTAAAAGACATGAGGAGCAGCTGAAAATACTAGCCTTGTTGAGTTTGGAGGAGACTGAGGGGTGACCTCATTGCTGCCAACAGTTTTCTCATGAGGGGGAGTGGAGAGGGAGATGCTGATCTCTTCTCCCTGGTGGCCAGTGATAGGACATGATGGAATGCCTTAAAGCTTCATCAAGGAAAGGTCAGATTGCACAGTAACAGGAAAAAATTCTTCAATTAAAGGGCAGTCAAGTACCAGAAAAAGCTTTTCAGGGAAGTGGTCCTGACCCCAAGCTTTTTAGTGCTCAATAAGTGCTTGAATAATGCTCTTAGATATCTAGTTTAACTTTCAGGTCGCCCTGTGTGATGTCAGGCACTGGACTCAATGACCCTTTTGAGACCCTTCCAACTCAATATTCTAGGATTATATATTCAGTTTATATAATATCTCTCAGTTTAAGACAAAATTAATTTGAGGACTGATGTCTTCAGTTTTAAAGTAATTCAAATAACCAATTCTTCCACCTAAAGACAGATGACAATATAGTGTGTACATAACAATGTATTTGTGTCAGCACTATGAATACCCAGACAAGAAATGGTCCAGTCAGCTGAACATGAAGCATAAGTTACATGGAAGACACTCCCTGCAAATCTTACAATACCTGTATTAAACCGTACCACAAAAAAAAAAAAGAGGAATGGTGCATTCACTTTCCTGTTCACCCTTATAGACTTTAGAGAAACTCCCTGATATCTTCAGTTTAATGATACATTGTACCATGTAAAATGCTCAGCTGCCATTGTGAGGGCAAAACCCAAAAACTACATTCAACAGCAGTTACACCAATTGATGAAAAAAATCCATTAACAGCTCTTAAATACAATGCATTTGTCCTTTCTAGGTGCAGAGGGACAGAAACTAGAAAGGCATATCAATGTGAATAATTATTCTACAGTTGTCTTGTTCCTTATATTCTTCCTCTTTGTTGTTTCCTGGAGGTCAATAGTTATTCACTATTGGCAAAATACACTGGATGGGCTGCACATCTGCAGCGTTTGAAAACTGTCATTCTACAAGTCCCTGATCTACCTCAAAAGCAGAAACATCTTTCAATTTTAAGCTCCTAAAATCATACACTCACTCTGTCCATGAAGTTGCAGGGCAAAAGCCAGTTTACACCCTAACACTGCACAAGTGCAATTCAAAACTTACCTATGAGATTGTTGTTGATAACACAGTATTGGCACAACAATGAATCAACTTCAGGAACTTATGTCATGCAACAGTATCTGTTGCACTTATCTTAAGTATTATAAGGCAAGCATAGAAGTGGTGCATCATCCAGACTAATCTACTGCTTTTCAGTAAAGCAATTTTTAGCTCAGTATACCTATTTAAGACTTTTTATTCCAATATATGTAAACCATACAAAAGATTTCACGATCAGAGCTGACCTGCAGCCTGATAGAATGAAAGATAATCAGACAAGCAGACATTTGACTGTACCCGCTTTACTGAAACTATCAGTCTCTGCTCTCTGAACCATGTCCTAAGCCATTTCACCTGCCACAAGGCAGCCGAGGGCCCATTTTCATACCACCAAAAAATGACCTCAGGTAACTTTTCCATCATGATAGCCAGGCTCTCAAGAACAGGGGATGCTGTTTAGGACATAGGCTAATGATAATCTTAATCTGAATTAACATCAGGGTGCTGCAAAAGTAGAGACAGATATTTTCTTCTTCACCCAGGACACAAAAATCCAGGATTCTCCCTGACAGAAATCCAACAACTCTATAAACAATGAAATGAGTTAGCTCATCAGTGGACCTCAATGTGACACTGATTACCTGAGAAGTCTACCTAGACTAGAAGAAATTAAGAGATGTGATGAAAAAAACAAAATATTGTTAATTAATCTAGGCAACAGTGTTATTCCTGGATACATGCTCAAGACACAATTGCATAAGGATTAGGTGCCCATAATGCATGATAAATCATTAAATGCAAGGCTGGAATATAGATCTTGAAAGGTTTCCCTCCTTTTCCTCACCAGCCACAACCAATAAAATTAAAATTAATCTGAACTTGCATCATACAAATACGCAGGCCAAAACAAAAAAAAAGAAAAAGCGTTTTCTTGCACTTGTGGTGCTAAATCCCCGTCCAGGTCGGGTCGGGTCCTTATGACGCTCTCCACTCGTGAGCCCTTGCCGAGATCACTCTAGACAGGTAGCAACTGCTCTAAGCGGTAACCTCCTGCACGTCCAAGACCTCTACTCACAGATTCCTCGAAAAGCCGCGGTTTTACAGCAGCTTGTAGGGCTAAGACATTGCCACTATCATTGCCCTGTGCATGCAGCCTGAAACCCGGCTTTCACGGGCACGGGTGTGGACAGAGAGCAGTAGATTCTCCCGAAACCAAGCGCCTCTTAAGATTTTCTCTGACATTACCCTTCCTTTGTCACATATCAGAAGCTCGTACGTTCCTCCTCAGGCAAAATTCTCCCTAGCGCGTCCTGCGGCACAGGCGAACCCAGCCATTTTGAGCGCCACAGGCGCCGCCAACTTGCGGCGGGCGGAGGCGGGGCAGCGGCAACAGGTGGTGCCGCAACCCGCACCCCTCGACGAGCCAGCACTCGGCCACGACCGCCATGGCGCAGCCTGCTGCCCGGCAGTACCGCAGCGGAGTGATAGCCGCTCCTCCCATTCACTGGGCCCACCCCACCCTGCAGGCCTCAGCCCCCCCGTCCCAGCCCGGCAGTCGCATTCACCTGCGCCGGGCCGCGCCTCCGCCATACCAGCGCCAACCTCGCGCCGCGGTCCGGCGTCCCCGCCGCCGCGCACGCGCACGGCTCGTGCCCGCGCCACCACCAAGGCCCGCCTCTGCGCGCGCAGCCGCACGGAGCCCCAAGCGCGAGCAGGAGAGCAGAGGCGCACACGAGGCTGGAGGGGCGGGGCGGGGCGGGGGGCGGACGGCGGCGCCCGCCGCGAGGCCCTGAGGCCAGGCGGTGCCGTGGAATGGGTGGTGCTGCGTGTCCGGTCGACGGAAAGAGCTGGGAACCTTCTGTGATACTGCAAAGGAGGAAGAAAGTAAAACTAACAGCGACAAAGAAATGCTAGCGCTGGCAATAAATTGATCATTTGTTTGGCAATCGGCTTGCCTGCTGCATTTAGACCCCGGCTAAGCGGGCCAAGAGCAGGAGGGTGGGTTCAGGACAGCTAGTGCCTCTGTCTCAGTGCAAAGAAGAGGTGCTTTCTGTAGCCACACGATAGAAAGCAGGGATGTGTCATCAGGCTGTCTATTACATCCTGCATGCAACTGCCTAAAGGAGGTGACAGAGACACACAAGTGTCATCCCAAAAAGCCCACACAAGAATTCCCATACTCCAGCTGGTGCTGCAGACAAATCTTATGCTCCAGCTACAAATACTCCATAAGAATTGCATGATTCGTCATACTGCAGGTTTCAGCACCAGTGTTTAACCATTGTATGATTCAAAGCTCCCTGCAGAGGTTTGCAGTGCCATGGTTACAGTACATCTACTAAACATTTCAGAGTCCTTACAGAGCTGCTGATCTTTACAGACACTGCAGAGAAACTTCACAGTTTTATAGCATCAGCAGCTCTGAAGAATAGCACCTCAGGAGCACTGCTGCAGGCAGTCTGTCTGCATTTTGACCTCCACACCCTCCTGGTCAAAGTCTCCCTTCGAAGCTCCATTTGCTGCACAGCTCTACTGCTCCTAGTGGGCAAAGGTCATGGCTTTAAAGCCCTTAAAGAACCAGTGGGCTTATTGCAGAAACACTAGCCATTGGAATGCACCCCAGACTCCTGACATTGCAGAGGAAGTTTGCAAACCAGTACGGCAACACCCTTAGGAAGATGCTACATGTTTTGCCATGCATTTTGTGTGTTTGAAGTGCTTTACTATATGTAAGATCTTGGCAACATAAAGACCCCCAAGATCTTGCTTTATGGTGAACTTGCCACCGGCTGCCGCATGAGAGGAGCCCCGAAGAGAAGATACAAGGACTCCCTGAAACAACATCTCAGCCTCAGCCATATTGATCAGCATAACTGGTCTACTCTGGCCTCCAATCGGGAGGTCTGGAGACACACCATCTATAACGCTGCTGATGCCTTTGAGAAAGCTCGCAGGATCACTCTCGAGGAGAAAAGACAACACAGAAAGAATCATGTCTTGCAGAATATACCACCTAAGGAGTCTTTCTGCTGTGCCTTTTGCAACCAGACGTGCCTATCTCGTATTGGCCTTTTTAGCCAGCAGCGCGCTTATAACAAACGTGTGTAGAGCCCTCCCCAAATCTTCGTTCGCGAAGCCTAGCCATGATGATGACTATATGTAAACATGGTAATCATCTAAGGTTGCAAAGAAAGGTACACAGCAGTGGCATCCCTTCAGAGACGGTTTTCCGGCTGCTGTCAAGAAACTTGCAATAGTCCTCTGGTTCCCATAGACTTCTCTGTAACTACTGTAAAGATGTGTCCATAATATTCACATAGAACTACTAAAAAGGTTTAACACTGCTTTTCATGAATACCACAGTACTACCACTTCAGTATCCACACTCTTTTTTTTATTACCACCAAGAAACCAGTTTCCCTCTGGAAAGTACTATAGGGATTTTCACCTGTATGTTCTGCTGTACAGTTGCCAATTATTAGGTGCATACAGGTCTTCCTTTGTTCTCTGTTTTCCTTTTTTATCTAAAGAGTTCTGCTTTTTTTTTTCCTTTCCTGTCTTAAATTGCATTGGGCCAATTCCATCCACTCCTGATAGCCTAACTTAATTGCCTAACATTTCTGTACACGCATGTGATTTTATTTTCTTCTTTAATTTGGCCAAAATAGTATTGTTATCTTTTCCTTATAATTTCTTCTTTTCAGCTCAAGAGTAGGAGAAGGATCTCCCCACTGTATCATACACCTTCTCTTAAAACATGTTTTTTGTTTCTACTTTGTCATGCTTGAATATTTATTTCCCCATCTTTTTGCCATTTATCACTCATTTCTTTTTTCAGTAGCTGCTTTTTTCCATCTGACCAATATGCCTGTCAGGAAGTAGCAGGGACAGAATGCTCCATATGTAAAGTAGAGCTGGGAGCTGAGAGTCAGTAAATTCCACAATACCTGAGCAAGAAGAGCAAAGCAAGTTCACCAACAGCCCAGGCAACAGGTCAGGTTGCTATGCGAGCCTGTAATGACAAGGCAGCTCAAGCCAGAAGTCAAGCCAGTGGGCAAGGATTAGAGGGGGTAGACACAAGCATATCTGCAACATAGTTCAGGAGGAAAGGACAAGAGCAGGTATTTTAAAGCAGCAGGGGAAAGAGCAAGGGGCAGGCACCTATTGAGGTTTTTCAAGGCCTGAGAGCTACTTACAAAAGTTGATGCTGAGCTCATCCAGACCAACTCCCAGGGTGGGGGGAAGGGACACGGGAGAGATGTACTCAGGTCTCTTACAAACATAGATGTCTTCGGCAGCAGGGATGCCTGTAAACAGCCTTGCCTTCAAGGGAGAGGGAGAGATGAGGTAGGGAAGCAGAAAGAAGGGAAACCCTAGCCATTGTTGTCTGTGTCAGCATGCATGCCAAAGAAGATGAATCTCTAATAGAAACATATTCACTCCTGCGCTGCCATCACTGTATAGTCATTTTTAAGAATCAGTCAGCCTATGGTGGGGTCAGTGACTACTGAGGACATGCTTTGACATGAAGACAGCAAGGTTGTCACGATGCTGAGATTCTGGTGAGGAAGACGAAATGGTCTACAGCCAACAAATTACAAGTCTAGATGTTCAGCATGAGTCTTCTGCATATATACAATACCCTTTTGTGCAAAGGATTTCCTGGAATTCCTGGTTTTTAAAGAAGCTGTTCCTAGGTAATTCCAGGTAACCCTGCATCCAGAAGCAATAATCTAATACGGTACTGTGTACACCTCCAGAAGGCAAGGGAAGAGTGCTGTGGGCACAGTCAATTGCAGCACACAGCGATGTTCTCTCTCTTTCGTCCTTTCCTACCTTACATAAAGCCCTTATAGACAAGTAAAAAAAAAAAAAAGTCCACCAATATGTGCTTTCGTTTAAAAAAAAAAAGTCTGTTGCTGGGGACAGCTTTTCAGAAGCATCCTTCCAAAAGCTAAATTTGGGCATAAAATTGAAAATAGAAACCAAACTTCTGACAAATGAAAAGTAAATCACACCCTGAGACAGGCTAAAAGGGTTTGAAGAACAACTTACATAAGGCATAAAATCTAATAATAAATCCCTTTCAAACACTTCAGGCTCTGGACATCTCCAGACAGACTGCAGCACCAGGAAAATTAAAAGAAATTTAAAGGAGCATACAGAGAAAATAACTGAAAATCTAAACTCATTCTTTACATCTGTGCTCACTGCAGCAGATATGGATGAGATTCCTGAGCCAGCTCTTCTTTTTTAGAAGGGGACTCACCAGGGGTTATGTCTTAAAAGATTCAGTATGTAATATATAGGTTATGGAACATATAGGCAAAATTAATAGTAATAAATCACAAGGACCAGATGGTATATACCCAGCAATTTTAAAAGAATTCAGGGGTGAACTACAAATGTCCTGAAAAACCTCTAATATAAAACTGCTTTGGTAGGAGAAGACAGGGATGTGTCAGCTATAGCTGACTTTAAAAAGCTGATTTTAAAAAAATGTTATAAGAAATCTAGAAAAGTACAGGCCTGATATCCATAGCAGGCAATTTAATGGAAACTGTAAGATAGATCAGAATTACTAAGCATATGCATAAAGATGTTGTAATAGAGATGAGTCATAATGGCTTTTGTAAAGAACTGCCTCACAATTCCACTGAAACGTTTATGAATCCCTTGTGACTAAGGGAGATAGATCCTGGAATCCTGACTGGGGATTTCTGGAAGGTATTTGGAGAGGCCAGTCATCAGCTCTCAAAAGTTAGACTGCCAAGAAATAAATAATTGAAGGAGTAAATAACTGATTGAAAGATAGGAATCTATAGTAGGAATCTACAGTAGGAATCAATAGCCCATTTTCACAGTAAAAGGAGGTCATCAATAGAATCCCACAAGGAAATGTTTTGGAACCTAATCTGTGCAACATATTTCTCAAAGATCTGAAAATGGCAGTGTCAGAGTCTGCTGACAGTACAATGTTATTTAAGGAAATATAGGCAATGGCAGGCTGAGAAGAAGTGCAAGCAGAAGAGTCTTTGGTACTGGGTATATGGGCAAAAAGATGGAAGCAGGGCATATGGGAATAAACCATCCTGTCTTCACATTTGAAATGAAGAGCCCTAAGCTGTTACAACAGTTATAACAGGTAGTTGTATGAGAATGTCTTCTTTATGCTCAATAGTGTGAAAAAAAAGCAAATCAAATTATTAAGCATTGCTAAGAAAGGAGTAAAGAATAAACAGAGATAACACTAAGACAGTGTAAGAATCGAGAAATACTACACACAAATCCAGGTCCTCCATCTCAGAGGACAAAGGAACAGGGAAAGGTTCAGAAAAAGGCAAAGAAAAAGGGATCATAAGCAAGAATGACTTAGATATGTTGCCTAAAAGAAGTACTTAAAAGAAACCTCTAAGGTTTAGAAATAAGGCATTCTTTAATCAGCACTGGGTGCACTGGTCATCATTTTGCCAAAATTCACCCTCAGGTATCTTCACTATAGCTTATATGTCAGCATTACATTTTTCATTCCCTGCATTCCTGTTACATATTCACGGATTTCCCAACACTTATTAGCATATATGCATATCCTTATAAGGTCTCTGAGGGTCTTCATCGGTGGTCTTCGGTGGTCTTCTTTGAAGCCCCCCAAAGTTCTAAGTGACCACCTTGTGAACTTCTTCAAGTCAGTGCACCTGGTTAAAAAGTAACTGGGTGTTGTCTGGCTGACTGCCTCAGTTCCCCCCTTCATTGTTTCTTTAAATCACTTGGCTCAGCTATTTGTAGTTTCTATGTTGTTGTTCTGAAAAGTGTATATGTCGGGGTTGACAGCAGGTCTGTCAGAAGGAAGACAGGACTGTAAAAGTGGATATCCTGAACTTTCTGCAAAGTCACCATGAGCTTGTTAGAGCAAGTCACTCTGAGTCTGCAAATGCTGAATCATCTTGAATTTGCTATAGGGCAGCCAATCCTGAGGTATGTTTATGAAGAAACACCAATTATAATGCAACATGTATGTTACACTGGGGAGTATAAATGTCAGAGACCTGTTGCAATAAAGATCCTATCCCTCTCCTGTCCTATTTTTGGAAAAAGACTGTTTCTGTGTCACTTTGGCTGTCTCAACTTAACAGCGACATATATCTATATCTATATCTATGTTTCTGTTATTATGAGCCTCAAAAATGTCCAAAAGACAGAGGAGCTAACTAAAACTTTTATTCTCATAAAAGGGAGAGTTCACTAGACAATCCCCAGTGAAGTCTCTCAACTTGATAGAGGTCACAGCATCTTTTATCCCCTTGCCTGAAATGCAGGTCCCTCCCCGTTTCCCCATTGGCTGAGGTACTCTGGAGTTACAGCCTTCCCAACACGCCTACAATGTGTCCCCCATTACATAGTTCCTTTGTTTCTGGGCAAATTGCACTTTTCTATAACTAAACAACTGAACAACCAGTAAATTGTCACTACTCAGCATCAAACGCAACCACACCACAAATTTTGCAAGAACACCTATTTATTCCTAATATTGTAAATACTAGCAGTTCTTGTTACATTTCTAAACCTCAACATCAGATAAACCTTTTGGAAAAGAGTGTGTCTGTTTATGGATATGATAGAGGTCTGCAAAATCTGGAACAACACAGACAGAGGAAACAGACTGAGCACTGACCTTTGAAAGGTGATGTAAAATAAAAGATCATTTAGAGTCCTGGCGAGGCAGCACTGAAAGAGTAAAATATCAAAAAAAAATGTTACATTGCACTTAAACTACCAAGTATGAGTGCCCTGCTGATCCAAACAAGTTTGAAGCTAAAAACGATAGTAGTGGGATACTAATAACGTGGTACTGGTTAACAGAATGGTCAGTGTCAGTCAAAAGACAGTGGCCCAGCAGGGAGCCTCAGAGATAACTTTTCAGATGTTGAAATTCTGTACCCACTTCTGATTTCTGAGGTGCATAGCACAAGCTGATCTTGCCTTTTGTCCTGGTGTCTGTCGTGGTTTGAGCCCTCTAAAAATCCAATTTCCAATTTCCAAGCCCCCCCTCCCCCCAATTTACCTCAAAACCGAAGAGAAATTTCCAGACAGGCACAACTCAGTATGGGGGAAGGGGATTATATACAATTTATTACTATACACAATAAATACTAGAGAAACTAAAAAGCAATTATATACACAATATTAACACAATCCCTACCATCCCTTGGACCCTCCCACATCACTTCAGGAGAAGTCTTCAGGGCGATAGTGAAAAGTCTCTCTCTCATTGGGGTATCTGGGAAAGGGGTCTCTTGCACCCCCACCAGCCCTCAGCTCCTGCTGAGGTCTCCTCCTGAGCTGCAAGGGAAACACTTGCATCATCAGGTTTTCATCACAAAAGGTCCAGGGAGTCAGCTTTTGAGTCCTTTCTCCCTGGTTCGTGAAGGTTTCCTCCCAGAGAGTAAGATGTTCCATTCTCACTCTTCAGGTTGCAGGCTTCTAGGTCTTGCTCAGTCTTTTTACCCCAAATAGTTTTCACCGAAAGTCCATACCCAGAAAAAGCCTGCCAGTTTGGCTTCCTCTCTTCCCTAGCTGCTGCAGCTTTCAGTTTTTGGCTGCCCTCGTCCAAACCCACGTAGGGCACCTCCGAGCCCTTTGGCCCATCTCCTGGCTCAGCTCCAGTAGTGAGCCTTAGGTCCACGTCACCACCTCCCCAAGCAGTGAGGGAAGAAAAAAAGAGCCCCCTAGCCTTGGCCACGGGTACTCGGTCCAGTTATAAACTGTCCCAAGCTCCCCTCAGCCTAGCCCCCCTGCATAGGGGGCCAGAGGCCTCCCTTCTCTCACCTCATGGTTGCAAGTCTCTCCCTCACAACACACACACTCACTGCCACACACTGCCTCCAGCTCTGGCCAAGCCAGGGCCGCGGGGCCCAGGGGCCCCCCGGGTTTCGGGGGTCCCTGGCCACCCCTTGGCTTCTCTCTCTCTCAGACACTCTCACACTCTGCCAACAACTTCTGGCTGTTATGATATCTAATTTCACAAGAACTAAAAAAACAGCTGCGATTGGCCCCCTGACCTGAAACTCAGCTGAGACCAACCATTTCCAGCCCCCCGGCCCCCGGGGGGGCAGCTCAAACTATGACAGTGTCCCAGGTCCTAACAGTGTTCTTCCTACTTATGGAAGACAAGTTCTGAAGTCCCCACACAGCCCTTTTACCCGGACAAAGAAAGGTGACCTAGAGCAACTGTTTCCTTCTACACATTGGTGAGATAGATAGTGGACCAGTCCCACAGGGCTCCAAAGAACTTGCACCTTGGTTTGAACCCTTCAGCAAGCAGCAGCTCTGCTGTCCTAGGAGGAAGAAAGCAGCAGGTCACCCATAGGCAACATATTTTGGGGGAAAAATTTAGCTATAAACTTTATCTTGCTACAAAGTTTCTGAGCATCCATTGTTCTGCCTGGAAAATCTTGATGAGTGCTGCTGAGATGCCCAATATGAACACAAAGCATCTCCAATGTCCACGCAAAACCCAACTTTTGTGCTTTTAAGGACCACCTGAGTGCTTTTTGGGAACATTAACACCTTATTCTTTCTGTTCTTCATTCATGAAAACCAGGAAGGACAGTCTATGTTATCCCTATAAGCAACAGTAAAGAAATCACGTTAATGTGCTGCTGGCTATTTCAGTTCCGCTAAATAAAACACAATAACCCTGCAGTCATAATATAATTCTTTTAAAATGGCCCCATTCAGCAATGAGGAGATTCACAGCTAAACAAGTCGCCAGTTTTCTGTTTTATCATCAACAAAAGAGATCAAAGTCTCTGTGACTCAGACTTCATGGCACAGACATCTTAGCCCTGTATAAGTCTACTGTTGCACTCGCGGGGCTTTTTAAATTCCAGATTTATAACCTTTCTCTTTTAGATCCCGTCTGCCCTTCCTAGTACCTTCCTATCCCCATGCATCTCCTGAACTCTGATGTGTTCATTACTGGATATATAATGAAGAAGAACTTGGAATTCCATACTCTACAATCACTCTTCTACTTGGCCTAATCAAGTTAATTATATGCAATTTTTTAAAAAGCATATAATTTACATTATTATTTAATATTGACTATTTTAAATTGTAAGATATATTATTTTTCTGAAGGAAAATAACTAGTTTTTTAATAACTAGTTTTTGTAGGGTGAGTTAAAACAGAACTTTAAAATATTTTATTGTTGTCAAGGAATGGGAATGTAACATAAAAAATAAAATGGCAATACAAAATTTTCATAAGTTTACTTGCCTAATTCTGCCTGTATTCAGAGTCTGAACCATTAAAACTTATGAGCTGTTTTAGAAGTGTGCATTAGGGAGTGTTTCAACTGTATGGAGCTCAACGATAGTGATGATAAGGTTGAGCGCCTATGGGTAAGAATCAGGGAGAAGGCTAACAAGGTAGTAGGCATCCTGGTGGAAGTCTTCTATAGACAACCCAACTAGGATGAAGAGGCAGATGAAGTATTCTAAATGAGGCTGGCTGATGTTTCATGATCCCTAGCCCTTGTTCTTGTGAGATACTTTACCTTGCCAGATGTCTGCTGGAAACTCAACACAGCAGAGAGAAGGCAGTCTAGGACGTTCCTGGACTGTGTAGAAGATAGTTTCCTGATAGAGCTGGTAAGCAAGCCTGTCAGGGCTGATGCCACATTAGACCTGCTGTTTACAAACAGAGAAGAAACCTGCTGGTGGGAGATGTGGGGGTTGGAGGTCATCTTGAGCATAGCGATGACAAAATGATAAGAGTTTCCAATTCTTGGTGAAGTTAAGGAAGGGGGTCAACAGAACATCTACTCTGGACTTCCAGCAGGTGGAAACAGTCATTAATAACAAAAGGGTCCAGGAAAGCTGGACATACTTTAAGAAGGAAATCTTAAAGGCGCAGAAGGCCATCCCTATGTGCCAAAAGATAAGCCATTGGGGAAAAAAACTGGCCTGTCTGAACAAGGAGTTTTCGCAGGAACTCAAGGAAAAAAAAGAGTTTATGACCCTTGGAAGAAGGGGCAGGAAGCTCAGAAAGAGTACAAGGGTCATGTAGAGAGAAAATTAGAAAGGTGAAAGCTCAGCTAGAACTCAATCTGGCCACTGCTCAGAAAGATAATAAAAAGCGTTTTTTATAAATACATCAACAACAAAAGGAGGGCCAAGGAAAATCTCTTATTGGACGTGGTGGGGAACATTGTAATCAAGAATGAGAAAAAGGCTTAATGCCTTCTTTGCCTCAGTCTTTAATGGTAAGACCAGTTATCCTTAGGGCAAGTGGCCCCCTGAGCTGGTAGACAGGGACAGGGAGCAGATTAGAAGCCCTGTATAATCCAGGAGGAAGTCATTAGTGACCTGCTGAGCTACTTAGATGCTCAAAAGTCTATGAGTTCAGGTGGGATTCATGAGAGGGTACTGAGGGAGCTGGCAGAAAAGCTCACCAAACCACTCTGTCATTTATAATCAGTCCTGGCTAACCGGGGAGGTCCCAAATGACTGGAGGTTGGCCAATGTGACGCCCATCCTCAAGTAAGGTTGGAAAGAGGATCCAGGGAACTACAGGCCTGTCAGCCTGACTTTGGTGCCTGGGAAGGTTATGGAACAGATTATCTTGAGTGCAATCACACAGCATGTACAGGATAACCAGGGGATCAGGCCCAGCCAACACGGGTTTAGGAAAAGCAGGTCCTGCTTGACCAACCTTATCTCCTTTCATGACCAGGTGACCCTCCTAGTGGATGGCTGCAGATGTAGTCTACCTGGATGTCAGTAAAACCTTTGAAACTGTCTCCCACAGCATTCTCTTGGAAAAGCTGGCAGTCCACAGCTTGGACAGTTCTTTGCTTGGTTGAAGAACTGGTTGGATGGCCAGGCCCTGAGAGTGGTGGTGAATGGTGCTGCGTCCAGTTGGTGGCCACTCACTAGTGGTGTTCCCCAAGGGTCAGTGTTGGGCCCAGTCCTGTTTAATATCTTCACTAATGATCTGGATGAGATGATCGAGTGTACTCTCAGTAAGTTCGTGGACAATACCAAGTTGGGTGGGAGTATAACAGGTTGGATTGATGGGCTGAGGCCAATTTTAGGAGGTTCAGTAAGGCAAAGTGCCAGGTCCTGCACTTGGATCACAACTCCATGCAGCTCTACAGCGTGGGGGAAGAGTGCTGGAAAGCTGCCCAGGAGAAAAGGATGTGGGAGTGCTGGTCGACAGCCATCTGAACATACACCAGCAGTGTGCCCAGGTGGCCAAGAAGGCCAATGGCATCCTGGCTCATATCAGAAATAGCGTGGCCAGAAGGACCAGGGCAGTGATCACCTCCCTCTACTCAGCATTGGTGAGGCAGCACCTTGAGTTGTGTGTCCAGTTCTGGGCCCCACAATTCAAGAAGGACATTGAGGTGCTGGAGTGTGTCCAGAGAAGAGCAACAAAGCTGGTGAAGAGTTAAGAGCACTATGAGGAGTGGCTGAGGGAGCTGGGGGTGTTAAGCCTGGAGAAAAGGAGGCTCGGGGGGACCTTATCATTTTCTAGAACTACAAAGGAGGTTGTAGCAAGGTGGGGATTGGTCTCTTCGCCCAGCCAACTAGTGACAGGACAAGAGGACACAGCCTCAAGCTGCACCAGGGGAGATTCAGGTTGGACTATGAAGAATTTCTTCATGGAAAGCATTGGAAATGGCTGGCCACAAAAGTAGTGGAGTCACCATTCCTGGAGGTGTTCAAGAAACAACTGGATGTGGAACTTAGTGCTACAGTCTAGTTGACAAGGTGGAGGTTGGTCAAAAATTTGACTTGATGATCTTGGAGGTCTTTTCCAACCTAAATGATTCTGTGATGTCAAAACAATTAGAAAATTTCGACATTGTCAATGCTAAAACAAAATTTTGATAACGTTTTTACTTAAGCATGAAGAGTCAAAAGAAATACTGAACTCTTCTAAAGACATCTTAGCTATTAATTTCTTTCAGATATAGTGTGATATTTTTCTGCAGAACCCTGCCCTTAAATAACTCACCTAATAAAGTGCCTTGTTACCTGACCTGACCACAGCCCCAAATTCTCAAATCTAAAATGAGCAGTGCTCAGCTCCATTCTCTTTGAAGGGCGCTTCACATGGAAACTTTACCCAAGAGAGTAAATTTATTCCAGTGACACTGACACTTAAACTCTACTGCTGCTCTAATGACTATTTTATTATTCTGTTGTAAAGCTCTCAAAGTAGAAAGATTGAGAAAGCCTGAAATACTGTGTTTCATCAGAGCACTGATCAAGGAGTTACAAGTTTCAATGTCTTCATCAAGGTCCAGATAACCACACAGCTGTACATTATATTCTTCATCTGATGGAAGATTTAACATGGTCCGCAGATCTAGAGATGAATATTGATTCCTCTGAGGAATATGTACAAACTACAAGGAAGAAAACAATGAACAAGCAATTGGATAAACTGAGTCAGAGAAAGTTCCAGGTAGACTAAAAATGTAAGCATCAGCAATGTTGCAAAGAACATTCAGTGAATAAAGTCCAACAGCATGTGCTGAATAGAACTAACTCACACTGTGTGCAACTATCTGTCCTGTGTACAAAATACCAAATGATTGCTATGGAAATAATGTGATGGAATCATACCTCAACAGTAATACAGGGTAGAACAACAAAGCAGTTACTACTTTAAGTGATCGAACGCATGGCCTGAAACACATCAGCAATCTCTTCTAGCAGCAGGTGTCCCTGCCCATGGCAGACGGGTTGGAACTAGATGATCTTTAAGGTC